TGTTAGCGCGCGCGAAGTTCGTTTTCTTCAAAAGTTCGTTTTTCGCCAACTTACGGGTATAGATCCATAATCGAGATTGTTGACGACAGTCTACAGCATTGGTTATGGTATAGCGAAAACATTTATTGCTCAATAGATAATCTAGTCAATAGGTTCAAACATTCTCCAGTCAATCCACGACCATCTCTTGGCCTTGGCTTGGGCGACGTCAGCGCCATCGGCAGTGGGGGCAGCAATAGCAATAGAGGCGACGGCGGCGACAACGAGGGCTTTGAAGTTCATGGTGATGAGGATGATGATACTAGCTTCTCTTTGCAGAGGTATATATGCCATGTTAGTGGTCTTTTGATAGGTGGCTCAACTAGGAAGGTGAGCCGTTCCAGGCAGCCAGGGACCATGCGGAAGCACCAGGTACTGCGTGATAATACCAATAAAGGGCTGGGGTAGTCAAAGGAGAGGGTTTAAGTCTTGGTACGCCAAACCCAAACCTCAGTGTTAATGTGTATCCCAATAAGCTCAGCAACCAAAAGAACACAATGGTTAGTTGAGAAAACTTTACTGATGCATTCCGGGTAAGCTGACGACGGCATCGTGAACGCAAGGTCAGTAAGCTTGTACATCAGCTTGTACATCAAAATATGCTAGCAGCAGCCATATAGGTTGGATGGAGAAATGCAACACATTGTCATGCTATCCATTCACAAAGGGGTTTTAACACGGTTCCCAGAACCACCAAAGGGTGTGATTGGCCACAATGACCCACAAAGTGGTGTTGTTTGCCGCAATAGTCGTCTTGATTTCCCCGTTAAGTTCATTGAACAACCATAGCGTGCTTCCATGATGCAGTCACTCTTTCAATCTGCCGAGGAAACCAAGCAGTAAAGTGACACCATTTTCAGTATTGGGGCGGGTCCAATGAAGCGACAGTAATGGTTAAAGTTGTCATCCGTGAATGCTCATCCGTTAATGCTCGTGATTGCTGTGCGGCTCGCGTAATTTCCATCACCCCACAAAGATCCATCGAAGCTCATGACGTTATTTGATCTGTTTGGAACAATAATGATTTATCCTGAAATGACATGAAGCACTCACAATCAGCAATGGAACAGTATCCATCCACTGAGGCTGAGCAAGAGGTACAACAATGATGAACTGATGCCTATCATTTCCCCAAGTCTATAATCAATCATCGACATTTCCTGGTTAGGAGATGTGATCAATCAATGGTGCAAACTACTTTGGACATTTTAATCCCTGAGATTAACTAGATGGCCTTTTGGGTTTTACCAAAGCTCCCAAGAGTTACCCAGTAACCAATCGTGTGCTGACAATACAAGTACATTAATTAATAGTGGTTTCGCCCTCTACTTTGATCTCTTCCAGAACTCACCAAAGTGGGGGTTGCTGATCTTGTGGTAACGGTCGGCGGTCCAGAGTCTCATTTGTTTGCCCCAAATAAGCATCACGACATACAGCCCGTTGATCACCACCGACAACATGAACATGAGCCACGTCATCACCACCAACCCGCACCCTTGCAACCACGGGTCGATGGCAAAGCAGAACGCCATGCCAATCAAGTTGCGGAACAACAAAATGATCACCAACGCCTCCAGCCCAACTTTGTGGTACGAATCGACAGCATAAGTTAAACAGATCGCCCCCGAGGACGCCATGGAGAAGCCGAGACACCCATAGCCAAGCACGACGGGGAGGGCCCAATGAACGCCAGCGTTACACCCGAGGCCGTAGGCGAGGATCCCGCCGGCATTGGTGATTAAGGGAAGCCACATCGCGTTGAGTCTCATCTCGGGCTCAAAGATCCCGTGGTTCTTTTTCGCTAACCGGACCGATAACCAATCGACATAGTTACCGCCGTAAAGCATGCCGATGATGCAACCAACAAACGGAGCCAAGTTCGTGAGCCCTACTCCATTAGGGGAGAAGTTATACGGCTCATCAGAGAACACCAACGACTGGGTGACGGACATGAGCTCCAACCACATGATCTGGGCTCCATAAGTCAAGCCAGACCAGGCGACAGCCGGGAACGAAATGAGGAGAAATGGCCGTAAAAAGATCACGTACCAGGGGCGCGGGTCGCTGTACTCAGTTTCGATTAATCTGAGCGAGTCTTTATACGTACGTTTCTTGATATTGCCGTCCACCAGCTCTGACGAGTGAGACACAACTTCGTCAATCTGGCCGTTTCCTTTCTCTTTTCCGTGGCTTAAAGCCATGGAGTCGTGTGACATCACCACGCTAATAATTTCCGCCTCCAACTTATCCTCCTCCTCGTGGTCTCGGTAAAATGTCGTGTCAAACATCAAAAAGAACTGGATGACAATGAGCCCGGCGTAGATGAACAACTGGATCCAGAAAAGCCACTGCCACTTCATCGCATCGACAATAAACCCAGCAGCCACGGGCCCTAAGTTGGAACCAGCATACAACGCAAGAATCATAAGGGCAAACGCCGTGCTCCGCTCGTGTTGGAAAAACACATCGGTACTGGAAATCTCCACCAACGAGTCCACGGGGGCAGCGGCAAAGCCAATCAAAATGTACAGCCCCTGGATGTACAGCACGTTCTTGCCGACACCGCCAACCACCATTGCAAGCATCACAAGCACCGTACACAAAAGGTAGACAAAACGGCGGCCTAGCTTCATCGCTGTCGGCTGGAGAAATAAACAGCCAAGCCCTAAAAACAAGAATAACAACGCTGCGGCAACGTTCAAGTCGCCGTAGCTGGTGTGGAGATCAGCAATCCACGGGTCGTAGGCGGGACCACTAAAGTTCGCCAGCACTGCCAACATGAACCCCCAGAACCATAGGAGCCCAAACTGGAAGTACTTTTTCCTCTGGGACCATCTCAAGGGGTCGTTGGGGTTGTTTGATGGCTGAGGGTTGAGGATAATGTTCTTGTTCTTCCCCTCCTGTTTCTTGACATCCAAGATGTTGTCGACGTCGACCAAGTGGACGGTGCCGGGAGCATACACGTATCCCTCCGTCATTGCTGCCAAAGCTCAGGAATCACGCTGATTATAATCAAAACTGATTCATGCAAGCGCTGTGCTATCTTACCCCTCACCGTACCACTGAACCTTCGCTTAGGCCCCCCCGGATGTAAGCGAGCAATAGAATTTATGGTAAGATAATAAAATCATGCTCTGGTTGTGAAAATTAAACATAGTTGAAGCTTTGACTACTACTTTTTTGTAAGTGGACTACTGTCCTTCAGTATCCCTCTGGTCGATCTTGATAAGATCGCGATAGCCGCTACTTTCGCCCACCATGCGCTCATAACAGTTTCCGACGCGGTTAGATATAGGAACACGAGTTCCGATTGCTTGGGCACTACAAGCTCAAACGGTCTACCATGTTTATAGGATACGGTGTTACAATTTCTTTTGAAATTGTGTCAAAATATCCCCGTTTTACCGGTTATTTTGCTATAAATAGGACATGGACGAGATCGCCGGCGCATAGACATACCCGATTGGGATGTTGGGTCGCAGCCGCGCGCGCCGTCATCGACGCCGCCGAAGTTTACATCGGACAGTCCCGAACAAAAATCGCTCGTCATCCACTCGGACAAAGTCCAATGTTTAATGTCTAATTGTTACTGTTTGCTGTGCCTTAGAGATGGCGAGAAAGCAGTGAACTAAAGGTGAGTGGTTTGTGGAAGTTGAGTTTTTCCCAATCTGCTAACCGCCATTTCCATTACGAGTTGGTGTTCCGCTTAGAGGTGATGTGTTTGAGGTTTTCTTGAAGTGGTCCAGGCATCAACTAATGTTTAGCCTTTTGCCAGCAGTATCCCTTTCACTCAGAGGTAATATGCCATGCCATTTGCGTGTTGGGCAGAGATCTCGGCTATACCCAGTGTTTGGAACAATCGGGTGATCTGGAATTTGCTGACCCCGAAGCTCTTAAGCTATCTGGACCTAAAGGACTATTAGCAGGTTATTTGCAAGACTGTACGTGGAACAGATAGATCCCATCGCATCATCACTGAGTTATTCAAGAAATCGTCTAATGGCAGTACTGAGAACTTTCTTTTTTTACTATTCACAATGTTGACGTGCATCGCTTAACCATGAGTCGTCCGGATTGAGTATGTATTGTTTACAACTGAGCCATTATTTGGTAGCTGAAAGTCTAGCCAGTGGGAGTAGTTTGGTTAACGAGAAAGTCGAACTTGTTGTCTTGTCTTTGAACAAAATAAATGGATATTCTTCAGAGCTGTTATCTCTCTAATCAGTAATTAGCCCAACTGGAACCAACACCTACACACCAAAAATAGGTGTTAAACGTCTCATTGACATACCAGCATAACAACCGACATAGCTGGGGATGTGTAGTTCAAAAAACAATGCGCAAACCCGGAATCGAACCGGGGGCCCAACGATGGCAACGTTGGATTTTACCACTAAACCATTTGCGCTTGGTTGACAGCATGGTCAGTGGCCCTGGTTTGTATAATTGAAATGGAATGTAATTATCAACCACGACTCAAACGAGAAATGGCCGCAAACCAAACAGCGACGACATCAAACAGTGAATTTCACCGAGGAGCGACGTTTGATCGACCTTATTGTCCATTTGTGATGTCGAATGGCTCTTTTTGTAATTTCATATGACATCATCAGGCAGCATGATTTACGGGGTGGTTCTGTCAACGACAACATATGTATTTGCATTATTGCCACCGCAGTGACGCCGAAAGCTCCGACCAACTCACTTTTTCCAGATTAACGAACTCACAAGTTTGACTGAATCGCACAGACCCTGTTCAGATATACTCTAATGAGCCAACCTTACTTCTGCAAGCTCTAATCCTCTCTTTCTTTACAGCCTCATATTCTATTGCCGTACCAACTTACATGTGGGTTTATACCATTATTCTACCTCAATTCCACTTGTTGTGAAGATTATGAAAATTTTACAAAATTGTGAATAATAATTGGCAATTATACAATTTTTAGGGATTAATCAACTGTGGACGGTGCTGTATATTATTTTAATCATCCCTTATCATGAGCTCCGGTGCCGTTTATACAGGGAGTCATTGTCATCATCATCATCGTCTTCGCCTTTAAGTAAATCCGGTTGAAAGCTCACATTATTGGGAGGCATATAGCATGATGCTGGTGGTTTAGAAAACCCAAATGTTTCCAATGAGTCTTCTTCATCACTCCGACAGCACTCAAAATGGATAACATGTGATTCATCCTCAATGTCAAACTTCGAGTCACCTAATGCAAATTTACCCAATCTGAATTGAACAACCGAAGAAGGGATGGTAATGGTGTCCCCTTCGTATTCGCTAAAGTTGGCAGACTTGATAAGGATGGACCTGAGTCTGTCGCATTGTTCAAGCTCAAGAAGTTGCGGGTCGTCCATTGGTTCCACCTCGACATTGGGGACGGGAAAGTCTTCATCAAAGTCGTATAGCGAGGCCCAGTCAATGGTTAACTTTTCAACCATTAGGGGGACTTTATAGATTGTGTAATATTGCAATTCACGGCAGCTGATTTCGCTAACGTCTTCGATACCAACGTTGGAACGGAACACATTAGCTGTAATAGCATATGACTCACTATGGCCATTACTAAGAGACACCACATCCGCCGAAAGTGACAAAGTTTCCACATCAAAACTCTCAAGCTCAACAGATTTGAGGTGCCGCTCAAGAGCAAGGTCTTGGCTCAAGTCAGCCACAGTTAAGTAAGCAAGACGGGGAAATGCCGTTTCAAATGGTAATTCCGTTTCACACAGTCCACAAGATAATTTGACCAAGTTAGGGGTGAAAATCTCACCAATCTCTGCGATTTCTTCCAACTTCAACGCGGTGAGTCGAGGACATTTAATGTCAGCGTGTGACGCTCGTTCAATGGCCAACTCTCTAAGGTTTGCCGATTGGACATTGACGTCTCTAGCCCCCCAGCACTTGAATACTTTAAGCTGAGCGGGAACACTCTCAATAGAGTTTGTCGAGTAAACTCCCAACTCCATCAATTTGGGAGAAATTTCAAAAGCATCAGTGATTGGTTCATCGACGGAAATGTGCAACTTTTGGATGTTTGGCACCAACGACAAGTCACGCACTGTAAAATTACTCTCAAGCTCAACTAACTGGGCAAGTTGAGAGGTTGTGAAACGCTCAGTGACGTCTACCAGTGACTGTAAGTCAGCAGTACTGTATCTCACACACTTAAGCTTGGGACATGATATGTGTTTAAGAGAGTGTTTAGTCAGACAAAAGTGAATCTCCTCAACTTGATCCAAATGATCACTCTCAATAGATGTCACGTGGGTAACTGATTCAAGCTGGGACCAGGGGAGGTTAGCCATGTTTTGGTGGCACACGTGTCTAAGATTTCTCAAGCCCAGAGCGTCAAACTTGAACAGATCAGAGAGATCCGAGCCATCGTCTTCATGGTGAATCTCAAGATTAGTGATCAGCTGAGGCAACTTGAGGCTATCATTAAAGTTGCAAGTTTTCCCAAAAAAGTGGGTAAGGCTCAGCAAGTGCTCAAAGCTTTGTACCAGCTTGATAGTACAATGGTCAAGTGAAAGCTTAGCGACAGTGGTAGGGATGCTTTCGGTATCAAGTCTCATTCGTGTGAGACTTAACTCACTAGGTTCTATACCTGTAAGTTGTAATTGACCCCCATCTTTGAAATAGGCGTCAATTGACAATGCCAACAGCTTATACGGGATTCTCTGGAGGTGCCATCCAGTCAATTGCATAAGTCCCGGTGAAGTGTCGACGTGAATATCACATGGAGGAAGCTTTGCTAATGTATCGAAATCAATCTTTTCCGTATCTCCAGTGATTACATACTCGGCGGAGACTCGTATCTTGGTGGTATCGAGAAACTCAGCTATTGTGGTCGCCACTGGCTCCTCAGAAAAGGCAATGTAAAGTCGACACACTGAGGGAACATCAAGCAAGGAAAAGATCCGTTTGTGTACCGTAGACGGAAGTCCCTGGAACGTCATCTTAATTTCCACTGTCCCAATTAAAGTTGAGTGTGGGGTACAAATTTTCGCAAATCCGTGGGTCTCGGACGACTGGCAAATATGGGAACTTTGAAATTGTGTTAATTTGAAGGGATGCCCTGTGATAATTAGATTAATTGGTTATTTTATTGAAATCCCAGTTTGGAGCCCAGGATCAGTTCGTTTGAGTTCGCGACAACTCCGATCGGATATATACTTGCGCGTTGACAGTAGTGAGAGATCTCACTAAAGACGTGTACCCACCACTTCCATAACTCCACCAAAGTACTCATTCCCTTCTATAAACCCTGAAAATCAAAACTGAGACGTCATCTGGATTCAGAAATACTCAACACTAGAGTAACAAAACCACTTGACTATTGCTCGTATGAAGCAAAGACTGATTAGCAAAGGCAAGGTGACAAGCTAAAGTGATCAATAGTAGGCACCCTGGCCAGAGTACAGCAGTGCTGTGTTTACGTTTTTCTGTTTCCCCGGAGTGTACTCAGGAAGGCCCAGTAGAGGTATTGGTTTCCCCAACGGCCACTGGGCATTATCTTCAATCTCACGCCAATCCACCACTAGCTGGAATGCCAACGTCTCGTTCTCCTTGGTGTAGCTTTGTTGAAGCAGTAGGATCAGATCAAGCAACTCCTGGGTGTCTATAGGCACAAAAGCCTCAATCTTCTTTGAGATCACGGGGCGCAGCTTTCTCACCACTTTATCATTTTTGCGGTCCCGGCGTAGCTCCAAAAGTTTAGATTTTGGCTTGGATAAAGACAGACTCAGTTCGTTAACCACGTGATTGCGTCCTTGAAGAGCAATGATGCCTAGTTGTAAGAGGCCTAGGGCGTGGCCAATCTTCTTTTGGTCATAGTGGTCAATAGCGGTATAGTAAGCAGCATAAGCTCGAGCGTAGCGTACAAGTGCCTCAAAATAATCCACCACCACAGCATTGGGGGGAAGAGTTTGTTGTAAAGAGCCAAGCTGGGTGGCAGCGTAGATTGCTGCCCTTGAGAGCATTCCACTAGCACTTACGGTACTGGTGGTTCTAGCAGTGTAGCTCTGTTTTGCTACTACCAGCAACTGAAGCAGGACATCGGCCACGGTGTTAAGCACGGCAAACCCCGCTTTTCCAAACTTCAGAGTCCCGAGCTTCGCTACCGCCAATGCCTTCTTGTACAAATCCACCACGCTCTTCCACTGGTCGTGGCCACTTTCCAACAGCTGTTTAGCCAATAGCAGGCCGAGGGTGACGTAGGCAAACCCAATGTTGGCGAGAACAAGCCCTTTTTCGTCGTCACCTGTCCACTCGGCTACAGACTCCTGTGTGGACTTTCTGAACTTGGAAACAAGCCGATCACCGGTGGATACCCGCTCCTTGGTGATATAGATCTCCAGCTCGTCGTCCCAGGGGATTTTGGCGACGCTGGCTAAGGTCTCGTCCCAGATGGTGTCCAAGTAGTTTTCAGCCACCACAAGGTATGCTGCCACCGCTGAATAGCTGGTGGACGAGGGGAACAGCGACACAAGCTGGTGGTGCCCTGCCCATTGCGCACACGCTAGCGGGCGTGCTAAGCAGTGGGGCGGAAGAAGCATGGCGAGATGGTGGTGGTGGAGTGAATGTGGGGTGCGGCGTTTGTTATGTGCAGTACAACTCACACCACCGCCTGCGACCAGGCCGATATCGAAGATTATAAGTAGCATGTTAATTCTATGTACAGCGTTTGGCCAGCCAAAGCGATGTTGAACACTGCGGCCTGCACACATTCTTGTTGAAAGAGACGTCTGCAAAAGGCTTACGACGCCTTCTTGGCGTCTTGAGCCGCCTTGTTGCGGTAGATCATGGCGGTGAACGGTTCTTCGAACCAAAGAGCCACCCGGTACATGATGAACACATAGGCAGCCACGGCAATACCAGCGGGCTTCGCGTACCACAACGCCGTGCCCAAAAAGCACAAAGTGGACCCATTGTACATGGGGTTGTCGTTAACGTTAAAGGGGAAGCCAGTGACCCGTTCGCTCATCAAAATGCCGAAGTAGTCGCCCAAGTAGGTACCAGTGACGCCCAATGCCCACATCAGCGTCACCACCAATACCGAGCCCCAGCCAAATAACGCCAATGCCAACGCCGTCACCACGGGGTTTTCGAGGTAGGGCCAGTAAGTGGGCTGTTCAGCAAGGGCGGCATTGTACACGTGGTCACGGTAAAGACCAAGGGTGAAGATGGTGAACGCTAAAAAGTAGCACCCAAGCTTGGCCAGCCCGCCGAAAATCTTGGTGAGGAAGTGGGTCTTGTATTCGAGACGAGCAACAATGTTCCAGTACACCGGGTTGAACGTGATAAGGAACACGGCATACTTGAGCGAGTCGTTGACACTGATGAACTCGCGGAAGTGCTGTGCCAAGTACACGGTGTCGTGGGCGAAATCGACGGCGAACTCGGTCAATTGCATTTTGCTTGTGGTTGGCAAAAATCTATTTGTTGGTGCGCTATGGTGGGGGTTTGCGCGCCAGAAAAATCAGCATGTGATTTTTTCCTGGGACGCTTTCGAATCTCAGAGAGGTCTTTTTTTCGCACTGTTTTTTTTATTTTATTTATTTTTTTTTTTTTTCGCTCGCACTGTCGCGTGCGGTCGCGCGGTCGCGTGTATACAACGCGATCTTCCGCCCTGCCCTCCGGAGTTAAACCACTTACTAACCCCTATCCTCAACCACGATGAGCTCTCAAAGACCCAGAAATGTTGGCACGAAGCGTCGGACGATTGCCAATGGACCACCGGAGAAACCTCCGAAGCGGCGTCCACCCCTGATTCAAGGGGGTGGCCACCGTGTGGCCCAACCAACCGGCGATGGTGAAGTTCTTGTAGCGCAAGAACAATACCAAGTCTTTTCTGGTGATGAGAACTCTTCGAATTGGTGGATGCCGAGTCTGAAACTGCTTCTGACACTGACTCTGAAACCGCTCTGGAAGCGTGGTCTGACAATGGCCCTTAAACCGCCCTGGAAGCTGCTCCTGAAATGCTCCTGATACTGCTCCTGATACTGCTCCTGATACTGCTCCTCCCGCTAATTTTAGCGAGAACTCCATTCGATCTATCAGAAATTACACGAACGCCGAGATCAAGCACCTCATTGATATCTATGAGAGAATGTAGAGAGAAACCGGTGGCACGCCTAACGTTAAAGCGGCTGCAGCTGAGGCCAACGTTAACCACAAGACTGCAGAAGGTTGGGTTAGGCAATACCACAACCTGGGGCGAGTTGCGCCGTTGAAGACAAAGAAACGGGGACCTAAGGCTGCAACCCAATTGGAGGAAGAGCATGAAAATTATGCCTATGATCGTTATAAATTGGCCCAGTCAGAAAAGATCACCTTTGAATGTGGTCAATTGATCGAGGCAATGGAAAAGCAGTTTCCCGGGACTGTCATCAAGGAGAAAGGTGCTAAAGAGTTACTCCTTACCTGTGAGCAGAAGAAACAGCAAGAAGCGCTGGGCTAAGTTTCAGGTGAAGAGGTTCTGTTGCTCACTTGTCGAGATACTTCGACATTCACTGGAAAACAAAACAAAAAAATCAAAAAAAACACATGTCAGCTTGATTGACATTTTGGGATAAGGCTGTTGACTCAGTCTGTGGGAATTTGATATAGTGTTACGAAAGAGACGAATTTAATGAGACATACGAGACCATGAGAACAAAGTACTTTGTGTAGCGGCGGGAGTCATTGATTTTGTGCAGCTCGACTCGTAGGTAGTCAAGGCCGGCTTTGCCATGGATATGGCAACGATGTTCCGTGGTATAAAGTCTGTTATCTATTTCGGTAAAATTACGTAAGCGATAAGGTAAGCGTCAACGCGTCGAAAAGACGCGTCGACGACACCACACCGGACCTCTCCTCGAGCGTTTGGTTGCTGGGACAGCCCCCCCCCCCGGACGATAGCTTAGGCGAGCGTCAGGCGACACAAAAACCTACACGACGGATGAAACATGCTATAATGATTAGTTTAGTGCGTATCGACCGCCACTAAACCGTAAATGCTAAATCTGCTATCATCTAATCCCCCCTCGTCAAAACCAACCCACGTTTCACAACGCCCATTTTGGTAACATCACTGGCGGGGCGCCACCGACACCGACACGTCGGGGTTCTCCTCGATAAGCGCCATCTTGTCGACGCTGGCAGGGTCGAAGCTGCGGAACTGGGGCCGGAGGCGGACCCGCGAGTCCCGGGGCACCGAGGCGATGGCGGCGGCGGCGGCGGCGGCGGCGGCCCCCGGCAGCGGCTGGCACCACCGGTGGTACGCCTGGAGCGACACCTCGCCAAGCGATCGTAGTTCGTCGTCCATGCTGTGCAAAATGCAATCGAGCGGGCAGGGATGGGGCGACTATTTCTAGTCGGAAGCCTCGGGAGCACCTGGAATCTGCAGACAACCCGGGGGGCCACCCTCACGTGGGCGTTATCTGGAATTTCGCAGCCGTGCGTCGAAGGGGACCAGGGCTCGCAACGAAGAAAGCCACCTTCATTAGTCATGGCACGTCTCACCGTCACGCGTCCATCCTGGCTTACCCCGTAATAGCGTGCTTTACGGCTCTGCTACCGCAATTGCTCCGAGGCAAATTGCTCACATCGACACCGCAACCGACCCCTGTTCAACGGTACCGTCTCCTATCTCTCTCCCCCCTTGCCCTCGATGCGGGGTGAGCTCACTTAGCACGCTTGCTGTCCGAGATCCACCGCAAGGGGCCACCACGCCCTTCCGCCGTAACGCCACAGGCGTTGCCGGTGTAACCATCGCCGATCATTGTCTACCCCGGGGGCTATGGCATTGTGGTCCAGCGCCTCACTGGGGGGGCGGTGGCTGGTGAGTGGGGCTAGTGAAGTCGGCTTCTGGGGCATATGGTACGATTGCGATGCCCTCGCCTTGGCAATATAGTGTATCTGCTGGTCAAGCCGACACCGCGTTACATTTAGGAAGTGGCAGGTGTGATTTACTGTGTAGCAACCCATTGGAAGCTACTACCTTTACAAGCAGTTACATCATAGGGTGACTAGACACCGCTTCGCTTACGCCAATGAACACACCTCTACCGATGCAGGGTTTAACACATTCAGTGCCAAGACCATCACCGAAGTGACCATCTTTGGAATACCAGAAATGTCTGAAAATCTAGCTAGTGGGTTTGTCCACAAACGTGATGGTGACCACTAATGGGGCAGCTCTGTATGGTTCATGCAATTACTCTGATCTCCAGAGGTCGACCTGTGCCAAATAGATGTACATTTACGAAACCTACACCGATATAGCAGCGACGACGATTTGCTGTATCAAGCTCCTTGATGGTTTTTGATTTACGCTACATTGTCGTCATTGGCTAAAAAAGCTCATATCGATTGAATACTGCAATCTTAAATCACCATGGCCAAGATGCCCGCCATCGCCACCGCTAGCTTCCATTTGGTGATAGTAACACTGACGCCATCCGACTTCCCATTGCCATCCTTATTGGTAGCTTTGCTCACATCGTAGACCTGAGTTTTTCCCGTGAGGTTGTATAGTTTATTGAGTTCGCTCGAAGTAAGGGTCATATTGAGGAAATACGCCGGTATGTCAAACACGACGACGTTGCCGGCGGTGTCAATCAACACACTACCACCACCAACGGGTGTGTCTTGAAAAGTGTAGCCATCAATCGTGTTCCCCTTGTCCACGTCGTACGTGTTCTGAAGACTGTGCAACGTCGTTCTGAACCGGTCATTGTGTCCGTCGTCGGTGGCTTCAAACGCAGTAAGCTCGCCACACCCCAGCAGCCAGCACAGACAGTCGCTGTAGTTGCCATCCCTAAAGTTCATCGACGTCCGCGGGATCCGGGCGTTGAGCAACAGAATGGCAGACTTGTTGTAATGGGCGACGGTGTTGGGCAGGTCGACGTCGTTGACCAGTTTCCAGCCGAACACAAAGAACTTGGCCTTACCTTTGAACCCGTGGTAGGCAGGGCTCCCATTGCGGTAGACGCCGCAGTCTCCATTCACGCTCAGGTTGCCACACTTCTGGTCAGAGAAAATGACGAGCTCCTCGTTCAGCTTGAGCTCAGCATCTGGCGACAACAACGTCGCCTTGTCTGCCTTGCTAGTCCCATCAGAATCAGCATAGGTCAACGCCTTACCAAGACACTTCAGATCAGCCCCCGCGGGAGTCAAGAACGTGAGGTTCTCAGCTTTGGTACCGTTGTAGCCCGCCACCACCGTCCACGAACTGTCGTTACTACCCAAGACAAAGTCGTCCGAGGTGAACACATAGAAGAATCTTAGTTGCAAGGGCCCGCGCACGTAGACGGCAACGTCCTCGTCGAACGGCGTGCCCGGTCCCGAGAAACTTACGGCGTCGCCAACTTGACACGAGCAGGTGTCCAGTTCAGGGTCGTTGAGAGCCAGCACCGGCGTGTACTGGCCATTGAAGCCAAGGTTGGTGAACTGGAGCGCGTCGTATTGCTTAGACGCAGCGACGGCGGCGGAAGCCCAGGCGAACACGGTCAACAAGTTCATAAGCCAAAGCGATTGTTGAAACGAGATAAACAGGAAACGAGTCGTCTGTTCTTATAGGTAAAAGGTTTCCACTTCTGCGCCCACATGGTATCAGTCACATTCCATGCAATGTACATGTAGTCGAAATTATACTTCAGGAGGGGCGCGGCTGCGTGGTACTGATAGAGAATACGAGAATAGACTACGTAAAATTAGTGATACCTCAGAGACTATAGTTAAAGTGGAATCACCTGAGAGTCATCAAAAGTGCTAGATCTATCGACAGTAGGACGATCTAGGGGTGACTTCTACGGTAATTTGTACCAGTATGTTTGAGGCCACCCAGTGGAATATTGACTTTATACGAGTACACACATGCAGAGTCGAATCATGTTTATTCTTATGAAATAGCTTAGGCCCGGCTATATTTAGATCAGTTCCCAATATTGGCCTGATCACAACACCGACGCCACCATAGCGGCGACCACCCACCAATCTCGTCTTGGACACACCCAAGGTGGTAGCGTCGCTCTTCTTATCGTCGTCCTTGTCACCGTCGTTCTTACCATCACCTTTGTTTCCGCAGTTACTGGAGGATTTGCTCAAGTCGTGGACCTGGGTCTTCTTGGTTTGGTTGGCAAAGTCGAGCATCGAGTTGACTCCTGCGGAGGAGACGTTCGGACCAAGAACGAAATCAACGATACTGGACACCACCACAACATTGCCATTGGTGTCAAAAAGAACAGCACCGTGGGCGGATGGCTGCTCCAAATTGTAGCCATCAATGATGACCTTGCTCTCAACATCGTCAGACCCTTGAAGACCGTGTAACGTCGTTCACCCTTTGCACCCGGCTCACCACACTTTTTGTAATGGTAGTAACATTATTCTCGATAACTTCAATTACGTTGAATCATGATGGTTGAATAGCTTGAAACCTGGCCCAACGGCCATTTCTGGTGCTGTGCCGTTGGCTACGTCAGCACACATACGAGCTCAGCATGACCTTTAGTTTAAAAAAGCTTCTCCGGCTACCCCGCGGCTCCACCGAGGTTATCCGTCCAAATTACCATACCTTACTCAAACGATTGTTACGTGATTGATAATCAATGGCAAACGGAATTGCCGATGAGGACCAATTTGAGTAAGCTTGCCCCCGAAAATAGAGATGAATTCGGATCTTTGATGTTCCCCTCACAGGATGACACAACCCAAAGACGCCGTGGGCCTGGCACGGCACCACGGATGCATGAATTAACAAAAATTAAGCGAAATTGCATCGAGAGAACTCCGAAACTGTTTAAAGCTTCAGGATTAACTTCACGGTGGACGTGGCTGATACGAGAATAGCCCCAATCGAATATCTACGACCATTCACGTGTAACTGAGAACACACTTTTGCGAGCCCTACCACAAACCAAACTGTTAATTCAGTTTTGCATTCGTGTTCACGCAAGCTTTAGCTGACGGGTCATGTGACTCGTATTTGTCTGCAAAGAGGGAACATTGAAACTGTTTGCCAAGGAAACGCCACAGCCTGACCTATGACGTAGCCCGTCACCATAGCCATCGAGGTTGACCGCGAAGCTAACAAGTCTGCTTGTGGGTTTCCCTGCTACTGAGGCACCTACACCTATGCGAAGCTGATTGCTACTAGTTCTGCCGTGCTTGGAGGGGCTGTTATTGCATTAGATAAGAAAAGACTATACTCAGGGGAAGAAGGATGTGACATTGCCGATAGTTATTACGGGTTAAGTGGCCTTGCATTCGCCTGCACTGGTACCCCGGACTTAATGCAAAGCCGCTTACGGAGGTGATTCCCAATTCTGACAGCGTCAGCAAACACCACCCGCAAAGTGTGGTCCATTGCCACCTGGAGTCCTGATGCCAACGTGAGCAAATAGCTCTACCCGATTTGTAACTACATTAATGTTACCATAGTCTTAAGAGCCTATAAACCATGACCGGAGCCTCTGTGCTCTGAACCGGGTATTGTCAGTCCCATGACCTCAAATTTCACATCTACCAAAGCTTCGTTTTCCGTGTATTTTTCTGATGCTAGCTTCGTCTATCTCGTCTACTTTCTCCCCTTACCTTTCTTCCCCTTCTTCATCTTCGGGTTCCGCTGGGCGTCGGCAGTACGGTCAGCTTTAGTCTTCTTATACAGTCTGACGCCTTCGCTCAACTCCTCGGCCCGCTTTCTCTTCTTCAGGTTAAGCTTCTTCGGCTGTTTCTGCTGCTGCTGGTCCTTGCCGCTGAACCACGTCCGTCTCGGCCTCAGGGCGATTTCCTTCTCGTGCTTGATCATGTTTTCCGCCTTGTTCAACTCCATTTCCGCGTGCAACAACTGCTTCTCGTGCTTTTCTTCCGCCAATACTTCCTCGACCGCCTCCAGTTTCAGCTCGACCAATTGATTAAGCTCTTCGATCTGTTTCCAGTCGACGTGACGAGAAAGCGCCTTACCTTTAGTCTCCGCCAACGACTTGACGGCATCACGAACAATGGCTCTATCAGGATTCAGCTCACCAACAAACGAAATCGAACGCCCTTCTCTGCCGGCACGAGCGGTACGCCCGACTCTGTGCAAGTAGATCTCGTACAGCTTGGGCATGTCGTAGTTGATGACGGTCTCGATCTTGGGGATATCCAAACCACGCGCCGCCAAGTCGGTACAGATCAAAATCGGCACCGTCAACAGCTTGAAGTCGTTCACCGCCTGGATACGCTGTTCCTGGGTCAACAGCCCGTGCAACTCGCCGACCTTGATCCCCATCAACCCCAAGATGATCCGCAATCGGTGGGCGGTCTCCTTACGACTGACAAACACCACTGTCCGCACCTCGCCCACTTGGCGACAGAGCAGGTACAACAACGCCGGCTTGTACTGGTCACGTTTTCTGATCCGGACAAACTCCTGGACCAACTTCAGCGCCGCCAGCTTTGGCGGGTCGATCATGATCCGCACCGGCTTTTGCAACAGCAATTTGATCAAGTCCTGGATCTTGGTGTTCATCGTCGCCGAGAACAAGAGCGTCTGCCGCTTGTGCTTGGGGATCAACCCCAAGATCTCCTCGAGCTCGGCCTGGAACCCTTCGTCGAGCATCCGGTCGGCTTCGTCGATGACAAGCACTTCAAGCTGGTCGATCGAGAACGACGGCGAGTTGCGGATATGGTCGATCAATCTCCCCGGAGTGGCGATAACCACATCGGGTCTTTGCTTCAATTGCTGTTCCTGTTGTCTCAAATTGAGACCACCCACAGCCATCCCAAACGAAAGGTTTTTGACGTGTTGCCCGATCTTCTTACCAACATCGTACACTTGCATCGCCAACTCTCTTGTGGGGGTTAACACGATGACCCGAGTCAGCGCCACTTTCGCCGGTTTAAACACTAACCGTTCGATGATGGGGATCATAAACGCCGCCGTCTTACCGGAACCGGTTTGGGCCCCAGCAACGATATCTTTGCCTAAAAGAGCAATAGGGATCGCTGCCAGCTGAATCGGCGACGGAGAAGTATACCCTAAATTGGCTAACCCTTTAAGCACGGGACGCGAAAGCTGTAACGTGGTAAATGAAGTGTGGGCCTGAGTAGGGGCCGCCGTCTCGTAGAACGCCGCCTTCGCCTCTTCGGAGTCCAGGTCGTTATCGGCATCGGAATCCGGGTACTCCATATCCATATCCGCCTCAACCGCTTCGTCGTCGTCATCTTCCTGTTCTTCTTCATCGTCATTTTCCTCGTCATCTTCCTCGTCATCGTCGTCTTCGTCGTCTTCTTGAGCACCCATACCGAACCCATCCATGGCAATCTCATCATCGTCGTCGTCACCATTAGCATCAGCGTCAGCTTCTTCTTCATTAGCTTCCTCATTAGCTTCATCCTCATCTTCATCAACCTCATCCTCAGCTTCTTTACCCTCCTTCTTTTCAGTCCCGATGGTCAGCACCAAACCACCTTTTCTCCGTAAGATACCATCGAGGTCTACTTGAGGGGTAGCCTTAGAATCACCAGAAAAGTCCCATCCGTCAAACGCTTGCGTGACCATCCCTTCAGCATCGAACTGGAAATCAGGGTTCAAGTCAGCACTCTCCTTGGGCTCTTCCTCTTCTCTGCCCTTACCTTCCTTACCCTTAGCCTTAGCCTTAGTAGCATCCTGCTTACTCTTATTCTTATTTTTCTTATTGTTTTTCAGCTTGGTTTGGCCAGAAACGGCCTCCGTTTCCTCTTCTTCGTCGCTTTCGTCTCCCAGCAGCACTTGCTCCACTGCGAGCTGTTCGTCGTCACTGTCGATGGTGAGCACGAGATCGTCGTCCTTGGCAGGCGCCAGCTTCGACTTGCGGGCCATTATTTTAAGGGATGTAAATTTGGGGGGGTTTTGGGTGCGTGTAGAGAGGGTCTGTGGTTCAGGCGATGGTTCGGGATGAGGCCTAGTCGCGATGAGACCGCGGGCTCAAAACGCGCGCTCCACGAACTTAAATTTCCATATCTCAAGAAGAAAACCTACAGTCTTACAGGTATTATCGTCATAATCACAGTGTTTCGTAGGTATCTATAAACGCGCCCCACCAGTGAAGCGGAAACCCCCCGTAAAATTTCCCCCCGGTGGATGCAGGTGTAACGGGAACGGGCGCCATGGGCAATAAAAAATAGTCGTCGTGGTATTGGCATTCCATTCGCCCAGCACCGCTGTGCCCCGCCCACCCTTTAAAAGATTTAAGGTCATAAAATCGAGGACTTAGTAAGTCGTTCTGCCAGCATTCACCGTCTCACCTTGAGACTCTTCACCCGGCGGATCAACAGCAGCGTCGCCCGGTCGTTGTCGGTGTCGTCGACCGAGCTGCGCCGCAGGGTGTCCTCGACACTCAGGTTCTTGCGCAACCGGTACACCAACAGCTTCTTGCGGCCGAGGGGGGGCTCCAGGCCCTGCAGCGCCAGCCGCGGCGCCGGGGCGCCGTCGATAAACGTCAGCGACCCCAACCCCGCCGTGGGCACCCCGTGCACTTCCTCGGCCTTGCCGTTGGCGTTGAACGCGGTGATCTTGGGGTTCACGTGAGGGACGTCGGTGTCGGCGGGGGTGGTGCCGGTGAACGGTTGCGGGGTGTCGTCGTCGTCGTCGGCGGCGACGCGGCGCACGCCGTACTTCACCAGCGCCTTGCGCCCGACGATCTCGCCCTGGTCGGGGTCGTAGTTGCCAAACGCCAAGTTCAACGTTTGGTCCTTAGGCTGGGGGAACAGCGTCAACGAGTTGTTGGGCCCGTCGATGGGGAACGCCTCCACCGGCGCCAACTTGGTGGTGTTCTTATTGCGGTGAGGGGCACAGGCGTCGAAGGGCCCGTCGTGGTGGAAGCCGCCGCCAAAGAACGCGGTGACGTCCAACTTGTCGATGGTGTCCAAGTTCTTCAGCTTCACCGGCTCGGGCTTCTTGGGCGAGCGCTTTTTGCGGCGGCGGTCGCGGTCGCGGTCGCGGTGACTGCGGCGCTGGTCGACCGACGAGTCGGAGAGACGCCGCTCGCGGTGGCGGTGTGACAGCAGCAGCCCCGTCGGCCGCCGCTGGGGCAGGGTGTGGGCGCGGCTCAGGCTCGACGCCAGCGCCTTTTCCCGAGGGTACTCGCTCCGCGCCGCCTGGGGGCCCGCCGCCTCTTCGTACAGCGGCGGGGGCATGGCGGGACGCGGCGGCGCCGCGGCGCCGTCGTGGGGCGACCGGGGGCTGATCTGGCGCGGTCGCTGTTGCGGCGGGCGCTGCTGGCCCCGCTGGTTGGGCACCGGCGGCGGGCTGCGGTGGTGGACGTACTCGCCCGCCAACGCCAGGGCGAAGGGGTTGTTCAGCAGATAGTGTCTAGGTTTGTTAGTATAGTGGACAAATAAGAAAAACGCCACAATCGCCACCGCCGCCCACATTCGTTAGTTGGAGTTCGTGGTTCAGTGGCGTAGCATTTTTTTTTTTATTGTATTGTTTCAGGTAGTGAGGGGGTGGTCGCCTCACCGGGCTCGCATCCGGTTGTCATGGCGCCCGCACCAGGAACCACTGAAGCTCCCATGGCGGGCGAAAACGCGTGCGATCCTTTCCATAACAAAACAAATGAATGGGGGTACTTACCGAGTCATGTCGATCTCGTAGTCGTCGTGGTCGTCGTCGTCGTGGTCGGCGTCGAACTGGCGGTTGCGCTCGACCCACTGGGCAAACAGCGAGTCCTCGGGGACCAGCTGGGAGAGCGGCGACGCCAGCTGGACTGGGGGCGGGCCCATCTGTCGGAACGGGTTGTTCAGCGAGAGCCGCCGCAACAGGTCGTCGGATAAGTGGGGGTGGCGGTACATCTCTCCGGTGTGGTCTTTAAGGCAAAGTAGACACGCTCGCTCCCTGGTGGTGGTGGCCAGAGTTTTTTTTTTTCTAAGCGGTGTCTTCGCACCGCACGACGCGCCCCACGAAAATCGTGGTGACAGAGTGGGGGACTTAGGGTAAAACGAGTGACGCCAAAAGAACGCCAAGCAGGCGAGGAATTTAAGGGTTTTCAGACGGAACGAGTTTGTGGATGTATTCGATGACCACCTAAGCCCCTAAGATGTTGGTATGCTCTCTTGTTTAACTGTTTATGGTCGATATCTTTCTTTCCCTCTACTCTGAGGGGCGCGCCAGTCTAGACCGCACCGGCTTGGCTCTGCCTACGTCATTGTGTCGAGCAAACAAACACCGAGGCAGTGCTAACCACGGCAGCGGAACACAAAATGTGAAACAGCCGACACTACTATAAGGTAACCACTAACCATATGGTCTTAGCCTTAGCCTTACCGAGGCTTCCCCTTGAATTCGCCGGTAGATTAGGACGTTGTATGAATTTGATCACGTGAGGCTCGCCTGTAACCACCCGTGGCGAATGTGCCAAAGGCGGTCCCCCCCCCCGCCCCGTATTGCCCATGTGTCGGTTGCTGTGGGGCAATCCATAAAGTGGATACGGCTAACGACACGGCGCTTCACTACCCCTTCCCCTCTGTAAGCCACGCCACGCTGGCTTGACGACACACCGCGGACCAAAGGGAAAATGACCCGCCGCCGATGTCGCGATCGTTATCGTCGCTGCTGCCGCCTGCCTCGCGCGCAAAACGCTCCCTTGGCTCGATTAGGCTAAATTATCACCACCGATAACCTCTCGTGATTTACCGAAACCGACCACCAACAACACGCCACAGTTAGCCAGTAATTCAACAGTGAAACAATAATTTTTGATTGTTTGATTTATTGTTTGAGACAACAAATCCATAACTACGTGAATGATGCTCTCTAATCAGTTCTCCCTTTTAGTTTAAATAGGGGTTGTCGTGGGCTTAGCGGGTGCGGCTGATTATTGAGTGTCGGGGGGACAGTAGGGCAGTATCCACGGGCTCGCGACCACACCTATCTCTCGGTCAATTACGAGTCTGTTAAAGGTAATTGCCCCTAGTTTTAAAGTTCTCGAGACGATTCCTCGGTAAATAGAATTACTTTCCTTATCCTTCAAATGGTCGCACAAGGGAGACTCTCCAAACTACATCAAAATTAGTCAATCAGTGATTTTTGGAAACGAACAAATTATGATCACCTGCCAACGACTACTACAACTATTATGATGATTGAGATATCCATTTAACCCATACTTTATGGTGGTAACTTGTACCAATGCTAGGAGAGCTTGGAAGCGGTGCGATTTGAAGGGCTTACGGTGCGAATAACCTCTACGACTTCGTGAATTTCGAGCCCTGCTCTTACCCGATTCAGCACCCTCACAATTGCCCCCCAGACACCCATAGTTGCTCGAGGGCTTCCCGGTCGCTCCGTAGCTACTCTTCCCAGCCAACCAACCTCAATTGCCCTCCAAAAATACCCCATGTTCAGAACGTTGCAAAACCAACCGTCGGTGATCCTGATCTTCCACAACCAGAAGCTGAAGGCGTCGCAGGCTCTTTACCAAGTGGTCGAGAAGCTCACGTCAAAGGCGCCCGTCGCCGATAAGGTCTACCTCGACTTGGTGACGAACCAGATGCCTACTTACGACCAATTCTCCACCATTGTCTCCAATGTCCCTACTGACGACAGCTACGGCCAGCGGGTGCTTAGACAGGCGTTCCCTTTGCTTAGCGACAAGCACTCGGAAAAGGGTACCACCCACACCACGATTAAAGGTGCCCCGCAAATGTTTAATGAAGGCGAGTACAACATCATCCGAGACACGTTTGACAAGATCGAGAACGGGGCGGCGTCGGAGGTGTCTGACCCGGAGGAGTTGTTCACCGCCCCCTTGGTCGTCGACTGGGACCGCGCCACCATCGCCAACGACGAGGAGGGGCTTAAGAAGATGTTGAGTCTCTACGAGAAGGAGGAGGCCGCCAAGTGATAGTCGTAGTCTTAGCCGCGGCTTAACCCGTAAAAAAATGCACATGATGCGTACCGCCCTCTTTATAAGGCGACGACAATCTCTCCTTCCCTTACTAAGTGTCCTACACTAAACACCGGTGCTGCAAACATCAGTGCTGCAAAATCTACCCCAAAAAAAGCCGTTGCTGCGAAAATTCGCTAACTTACTATGGGCTATCTCGAGGTGTACAACGCGGCGCTGGTCGTCGCCTGGCTCGCCGTGCTTGTCAATCCTGACTATCTCATCCCCGTGCAAGTGGTAAACCTGGTGCTTGAGCTTGTCCACATCGCCGGAGGCCTTGTCCGGGCGCCGTTGCTGGCGGCGTTAATGCAGTGCTACGCTCGCCTTGGGATGTGTTTGGGCGTATTGTGGAACCAGAAACAGTGGGCGCCTGAGTGGGCGTTCCGAGCAATGATTTTCGCTTGGGGTATTACCGAGGTGATTCGCTATACTTACTATTTGGTGAAACGGGGGACGTGGCTCCGCTACCTGGCGTTTATTGTATTGTACCCTTTGGGTCTCATTAGTGAAGCCACTATTGCGTGGTCAGTACTTCCTCACGTGACCCACTGGTTCCAAAAGTGGTTTCTCTATGTGGGATTGGCAATGTACCTTCCTGGTTTTGTCATGTTATATTCATACATGTGGAAGCAGCGCCGCAAGCAACTTGGCCCCAAGCGCAAGCAGATTTGAACTATCTGTATCTCTCCATCTTCTTGGCGTGCTTCTCTTCCTCCTTGAGCATCTTCTTCTGGTACTTACGTTCCTCACGGCGTTGTCCACGGCTGGGACGAGACGCGTGTTCGTCAAGCCGGTCCGCAAGCCGTCCCTTGAGACGAGTCCCGAAACCGGGAAACTCGCCATTATCATCGTACTGGCCTGAACTGACGGTCACGCGGTCAGAGCTATGGTTGTAACTGTGGTTGTAGCTGTCAGTGTTGGTACCCTCCATTGGTTCGCGGATAATGGTTCGGTTGTGGTTGGTAGTTGGAGAACGGCCAATATCCCTTTGCGACGTGCTCTGGTTGATCTGATGGTACAGCGGGGGCGCCTCATCGTACAGTGCCGGTGCTTGGGGACCTTCAGGCCGCTTAGTGTCGTCAGGATACCTCTGTTCACGGTACACAGTGGTCGGCACTGATGTCGGCACCGATGTCGACGAACTGCCAGCTATGGAGCGCCGATTACTTTGGTGATCACCCTGGTGACCCTGGTAACCACCGCGGTAGTCGCTTTGAGGTTGTCTCCGATCTTCGAGCGCGGTTCTCGCCACTTCGACAACCACGGCTTTGATGATGCCCATATCTTCTTGGCAACGGTTTTCTCTGCTGAAGCCTATAGTTATATATTGGTTTCAATCAACTGTCACCCCGTCACGCACGGCACTAGTGTCGGCATTGCTATTCCTCGTGTCGCTCTTGCGTATTCGTATTTGCTCCGCCTTCTTCCCAGTGATAACGAAGGCATAGCGCCAAACACAAAAAGATATCACCCACTCCACTCCAAGCCAAACATCAACCTGTCAATACAATCAGAATTCAATTGCAACTAGTCGAATTATTAATTTATTTTCGTAAATCGTAAGGTTTCTTTCCCGTTGAGATCCCCTTCATTTTATTTCCCGCATTATTGGGTTTTGTGTTACTTCACTGCGGATTAATCCACCCGTCTATTCCCGTCAATCAACGGAGGAACCAAGTGAGTACTCCGAAAGCTGTGTCAATACTTGGATTTTTACGTGAATTTGCTCAAGTTTTGCTCTTCTCCCATTCAACTCTGGCATTATTACTACAATGCTACTCCAGCATCACCACATTATATTCATTAAATCATTTCCAGTACAATTAGTTTCATTACAATCAATTCCATTACAAATGATTCCAGTACAATCGATTCCAGTATAATTAATTCCATTACATTTATATCCAGTGCAATTATATCCACTACAATTATATCCAGTACGATTATCTCCAGTACATTTAATCAAAGCTCGCTGTCCACAACACTCACAAACGGATAGTCAAACGTAGAAGCCACAAAAAGGCTATAACCAGTGCCTAGTAAACAAACGCAACCAAAAATGAAACCAATGCAGTTACTTCATCATTTTAAAAAAAGACTTTGTAAAATCAAACTTAATCTGTCATTTTCACCACTGCTTGTGGGGTTCCGCGGGGACTCCGCACGGAGAGGAAATTTTCCCCATCCACCCCCGCTTACCCTCACCTTACTACCAAACAAAACACACCCTCAACATGGCTCGCATGGTGTCGGCTAGCCTCAACAAGGGGCTCATCGCCTACAATTCGATCCTGGCGTCCCTCTGGATGCTTGTGCTTTTCATCACCGTCGTTCTCGGCGGCCTCGGCGGCCAGCCGTTGCTCTTCGACAAGACGTCGTGGGTGTTGATCGCCGTGCAACTGTTGGCGATTATCGAGGTCTACAACGCCGCCACCGGTATAGTGAGACTGCCGATCTTCACCACGGCGATGCAAGTGGCGCTGCGGTTGTTGATTGTGTGGGGGATTTGCTACTTCAACAAGTCGCTGCCGGCGAACCGGCTGGTGGCCTACATCACGTTGACGTTGGCGTGGTCGGTGACGGAGATCATCCGCTACCTGTACTACGCCCACCACTTGAGAGACCCTCAGCATGTGCCGCGGTGGTTGTTGTGGTTGCGTTATACTACTTTCTACGTGTTGTACCCGTTGGGGGTGGCGTCGGAATGCTACATGATCTGGGCCACTATCCCCTACGTTGGCACTGCCACTAAGGCGTTGTTCTGGGTGGTGTTGCTTGCCTACATTCCTGGGTTTTACACGTTGTTCACTTACATGATCAAGCAACGTAAGAAGGCGTTGAACAAGGAAAAGGAATACTAATCATACTATCCACTGTATATAGAATGATTATTGTCTACCTGCAAATAAAGAACACATCGATAACTGACGATTACCAAACACAGTGAGGGTGTACTTAAGTATTTGAGTCACTTGTAAACTACTAGTAAATCACTTATAAACTACTAGTAAACCACTAATAAACCAGTACAACTTGAATGGATGCTACTGAATATACTGACTCTCCTTTGCTTAAACAACTTTAATTGTGTTAATCATTTACAAGATCGTACTCTTCTCTATATTAAGTTGCTCCCTTATATATACCTAAACTCAACCAATTTAACGAAAACCCAATACACAATCAAACTCTTATAAACTTAAAGTAACCCCTGAAATACCTCAAGTCCGTATTTAATCATTCCCTTATTAATTTCGTTCTTGTTGGACCCTTCGCACTCACTACTAGAGCCCTTATCTTAGTCTGGCTCATCGCGCTTCAACCCCAACCAAACCATGCCGTCGAAGAAGCTTGCCCCGGAGAAGGAACGGTTCATCCAGGCGTGCGGCGACATCTCCCTCGAGCTTGTCGCCCTGCTCAAGCTGAGCAAGGACATCAACCTCAACGGGCTCATCACCCGCTACGCCAAAAAGTACAAGTTGAAGCACCAGCCCCGCTTGACCGATATCATCAACCTGATCCCCGACCAACACAAAAAATACTTGATCCCCAAGCTTAAGGCGAAACCAGTGCGTACGGCGCTGGGCATCGCCGTCGTCGCCGTGATGTGCAAGCCCCACCGGTGTCCCCACATTGCTTATACGGGTAATATCTGTGTCTATTGTCCCGGGGGGCCAGACCTGGACTTTGAATACCTGACCCAGCTGTATACTGGCTACGAACCGACGCTGATGCGGGCGATCCGGGCGCGTTACGACCCGTTTGAACAGGCCCGGGGTCGTGTCGAACAGTTGCGCCAATTGGGCCATTCCATCGATAAAGTGGAATATATCATCATGGGAGGCACGTTCATGTCATTACCAAAAGACTATCGTGAAGGGTTTATCACTCAGCTCCATAATGCCCTCACCGGGTTCAACGGGACCGATATCGACGAGGCCATCGAATACTCGCAACAGTCGCAGACCAAATGCGTGGGGATCACCATCGAGACTCGCCCCGATTACTGTACCGAGACCCACTTGCTGGATATGCTTAAATACGGGTGTACGCGGCTTGAGATCGGGGTTCAGCTGGTATACGAAGATGTCGCTCGTGACACTAACCGGGGCCACACCGTTAAAGCCGTGTGCCATACGTTTGCCGTGGCTAAAGACGCTGGCTATAAAGTGGTCAGTCACATGATGCCTGATTTGCCGAACGTGGGGATGGAGCGGGACTTGGAACAGTTTAAAGAGTACTTTGAAAACCCCGATTTCCGCACCGACGGGCTTAAAATCTACCCGACATTAGTGATTAGAGGTACCGGGTTATACGAATTGTGGAAACAGGGCCTCTACCAGTCATACAACGCCAACGCCCTCATCGACTTGGTCGCCCGCATCTTGGCGCTCGTCCCGCCGTGGACGCGGATCTACCGTGTCCAGCGGGATATCCCCATGCCCTTGGTCACCCTGGGGGTGGAAAACGGTAACTTGCGGGAGCTTGCGCTTGCGCGGATGAAGGATTTTGGCACCCAGTGTCGCGATGTTAGAACGAGAGAAGTGGGGATCCAGGAGGTCCACAACAAGGTGGTTCCCGACCAGGTGGAGCTTATCCGCCGTGACTACTATGCCAACGGCGGCTGGGAGACGTTTTTGTCGTATGAAGACCCCAAACAGGACATTTTGATCGGGCTCTTGCGGTTGAGAAAAGCCACTAAAAAGTACACCTACCGCAAGGAATTCACAAGCCAGCCGACACTGATCGTGCGGGAATTGCACGTGTACGGGCTGGTAGTTCCGTTACACCTGAGAGACCCGCGTAAGTTCCAGCACCAAGGGTTCGGTACCCTTTTGATGGAAGAGGCGGCGCGGATCGCTAAATACGAACACGGCCTGGAGAAGATCTCGGTCATTTCTGGGGTCGGGGTGCGTAACTACTACGCCAAGTTGGGCTACGAGTTGGACGGGCCCTACATGCTGAAGAAGCTCTAGAGGTATATATAGTTAATGTCAATGTCACGAACAAAAGGGAGACAAAAAGAAGGGAATATGAGGGTCAAAATTGAAACGTAAATGCCGGGCAAGCTGCCAAAAAGGAACTCTTTGGCGGGAAATCGAACCCCGATCTCCCGCGGGTTGCCGATTGAAGCTTGACAAGCGGAGATACTGACCGTTATACTACCAAAGACGAGGGCCAATACCTAGTTATTCCAGTTTTGAGCTACGCGTTGTTGTTTCCTGTGAAAATCATACTTCTATGTGGCCTCTGCTTTGCGTAGATCGTCGAGTCTGCTCATCTCGGGGATCGCCGAGATATTGCGAGCCCTGGGCACCATCCCCACCGCTCGCTCATACAAAACAGGACCCCCCCTCATATCTCCCCCGCATTTCACAACTCCCATCCCTCCCAAAACTCCATGTCCGCCACGTTCAATTGGAACGTGTTCCCCAGCACTCGGCTCGACGAGGCCAAACTCGTCACTCCCCTCGGGTGTCTATTCACGCCGTTCCCTGAAAACCCACCAAAACCGTGCCATGGCGTTCCCTTGAAATGCCAGTGTCTGGCGATTACGGGGCCCCACACGAAGTTGGACCGCAAAAACGGCATGTGGTGGTGTGGCTTCTGCCAAAAGAAGACGTTTGGGGCCATCGACGAGCTGCTGGCAGCGTATACCGCCGACTCGGTGGTGTATGATTGTGTCGACATCGGCACCCAGCCCGTGGACCAGATCCAAGTTTTGGTCATTGACACGTGGCAACACAGAGACCACCAACACTGGAACGATCTTAAGGAGGCGTTGACTCACGCCGCGGGCGACGATAAGTACCTATTAATCACGTTTAGTGATACCGTCCATGTACACCGGCCCCAGGGGGAAATGGTGGGGTTTGACCAGGCTGAACTGACCTTGGCAGGATTATTTAACGACCAAGGTTTAGCTAGAGTGCACCAGCGGCTCAATTTGCCCCGTTCTAATAGTGATTTGCTGGCATACTTATTTCTGGCGGCGGACCTAACCGACCGGCTCGACGCCCTCAGCGCCAAGATGTGTACCACGTTCTTACCCAGCCGTTGTGTTGGCTATGCTCTATACATTGCTGCAGTGATGATTGCCGCTGGAGTGTACACCGCCCAAGTACACGCGTTCGTCGCTGGGCCCGGTACCCAGTTCCCCGGCTTAATCACCGAGGCTAATACTCGCCCAAGGCTGCACCATGACATCGAACAACTCCAAGCTCCCCATTATCTCCCCGCTTACAAGTATTACCTGATATTGGCGTTGGCGGCGGCGGGCCATACCCTCCAGGATGCTTTCGTCATTGGCGACTCGTTGCTGAAGAAACCCACCAGTATCAACCCTTTGGGACCTCAGTGGAGTCTCCAGCTATATACGGGCCTGGTGGAGCAGGTAGGCGTCCACGAGATGCGCCCGTTAGTGAGTGGGCTGGGGGGACTGGTGTATGCGTTTGAGCTGTTTGCCCTGTCTCGCTTCAGAGCTCAGTTATCTTTGAGACCAGCTCATTATACTAATGCTGAGCTCACGGTGGTGACGCTGACGGACCTCAAAGTGGGGCGAATGGTGTTTGGCGGGGTCCCGTTGCCTCTGCTGTATAGTCGGGCCCAGGCCACTGCTGACACCCACCCAGAGAAAATCAGCGATACCGTCACGCGCTACGACGCCCTGGTGGGTAAAAAACTGTATACGAACCGGTGGCAATTCCCCCGTTTGACTGGAGACGATACCCTTGCCGTGTTCTTCGAAATGAACACGGTGCGGCTGCTGGACCGCCTCGCAGTGCTGGGCACGGAACAGGTCCACATCCAGTTCCAGTTGAAGTACTGGGACCATAACAGTCGGTGCTGGCGGCTCCAAGTTACCACGGTTAATAAACCCACTACACTACTGGTACTTGCCAAAAACAAGCGCAAATACACTGATGGGCTGACGAGGATCGTCACTAAGGATAATATGATGCTCAAGGACCTTGCGTTGCTCCAAAGCTTTGATCAGACGGCTTGGGTGGTACTTTTAGCGCGGCTATTGGTCAACAAAATCGACTACACTCTCGGGTTTGAACCGCTAGATCTGGTGGCAGCGATCGCCGACGATGCCCTTGTCGAGCTCTTCCACCATTTTGGCGCCATCTCCGAGCTGGGCGTGGTGGGCCAGCTGGTGTACCACGACTTAAACAGACGCTATCACATCAATCCGCGGTTTGCTCGCCTCCCCAGTATCATATACAACCTCCGCAAAAACCCTCAGTTGTTCCGCATCTTCAACTCGTCGCCTGATGAAACGGCGGTGTACCATCACTGGTTTCTCCGGTTCCTGGAGCAGGAGCTGGTGATGGCGATTGAGCCTAAACTCGAAGTGGTGGGGCGGGGGCCGGTGCCGCTTGACCCCCAGTGTCTCGATATGCCTCTGGGGACGTGGATGGTGCTTGATAATCAATTCACGGTGATTATATACAAAGTGGTGAAGACTGCTGACGATGACGAACACTTACACCCATCAAATAACGAGGACCGCATCTTTGCTCGCGATCTCCCGCCTCCAGTGGTGGAATATCTTGATAAACCACGCCGCTTTATCCCCAAATACGTCCTCACACAGACTGACCATTCGCAACAGAGATTTCTCCACCTGCGGCTTAATCCGGCTAACAGGGATATCGAGGTCGAACGGGTGGAGAAACTGTTTTTGGGGCTTTTCTCCCGCAAAGTGGTGAAGCCAGTGGCGTCATACGACTTGTTGATGACCGACGATATCAGCTTAGACCAGTTTTACGATGGGGTGACTGCGAAAGTGAAGAAGTTTTCCCCTTAGACGACCTTAGATACGATTAATGTCATTCTCAAACTCAGTTACTAGCAATGGAAACTAGGAGTATCCAGTGAAAACACATCTTTGAGATTCAACCACGATGCTAAAACTTCCTACACGGTGGTGTACAGCACTAGTGAGCAGGCCGAACTCTATAAGTATGGACTTATCAGCATGTAAGAAGTCAGACGTGGTCCATTTTGTATTACTAGGGCTCTCAATGATTTACCCTATCACTCAAAAAGTTTACCCTAAGACTCAAAAATTTTACCATCCTTTAAGAATTCACAAAACATTTGACAAACACATTTCATTGGGGTATATCGTCATGTACGCTGGAATACGACGGAATGCTTCGGTTGAAAATGAGGGGTCGAAGCGAAGGTCAGAGGTTTGCCACATAGCTCTATGTATCGATGTAGCCATAAAGTTAGACGAGACACGTAAGCTTACATTTTCGAAATGCTCGAGTGCTATAGCAATTGGACTGTGAGTGGAGGTGTAATCGAGTATCATCATTCATCTCTGATTAGCCTAAAAACTCAAGTGATTGAACCCTGGTGGTTGACGGCATATGTTCTAGGACTGGAAAAAAATTCTTTCAGAACCAATCAGGTTGACAAGAAGGGTTCCTTTGTAGTAATTCACTCGAAAGATTCAACTTAAAGCTGACATCCTTGACCAAAGGAGAGACGCAACCAGTTGATAGAGATGACCAACGACGTCGACGAAACCTGATAAGCCTGTTTTAACTCATATCCAATCATTCGTTCCTCACTCAATTATGTCTCATAACATCACATTACCTGACTCAGTTTTCAAAGCTTCTTGACGAATTTGATTACGGTGTCGATCAAGTCCTTTTGCGCCAGTTCCAGCTCCACTTTGTGCGATGCTCCAGGCACTACATGAGACAACGGCGACCAGTATTGAGGGTCAGTGGCCTGTTGAAACTGGCCCAACACCTGATTCTTATCAATCTTCTCATCGACATACTCATCTTGTTCCCCGTATAACACAAGCAATGGTTTCTTCACTTTACCAAAGGTTTTGGCGTGGTCTTCGGCGGTGAGATAAGTACTGAAGAAGTCCTCGGTGCCTCTCTCCTTGGCAATACTGACGAAGCGAGCACTGCTAATAGGAGTGCTGAAGGCGATCTTAGTAAATTTAGGCGGCAACACTTCTTTCGTCAGCAAATTGGGGTAAGTAGACTCCACTTCTTTAACCAAATTCTGGAGGTCTGTGTGGGTCAATTCCGCAAACAGCGCCATCGCTTCAACGTCCAGTACCCCTCCTTGTAAAATGCCACCGTCAATAGGCTCGTCGGCGTCGGCATTTATCAAATAGGCCAATACATCTTGCGACCCCGTAGAGTGGCCTGCCAATACCACTTTGCTGCGGTTTTCCTCGTGTTTTAAGTAGTGGACAAGCCGTTTCAAATCCTTCAAATCCTGTTCCAAGCTCAGCTGAGCCCATCCTTGGTACAGACTCTTTATAAGGGGCTGGATCACCGACCACGATTCAGGGAGCGATTGGGACAACGGAGCGAGGTAGGGCAACGAACCTAAGCCGTCGCCAAGTCCTCCGACCCACACGATGACATTGGGGGCTTGGTTAGTGCCGTATTCGAACGCAGTGAGGAACAGCGTGTACTTAATGAGTCGTCCTTCCATTGCCTGGCAAGTGGGTGGAGAGCGCGCGCACTAAGGGTCCCCCCCTTAGCCACAGTATTACCACTGAAAAAGAAAGAAATAGATAAGGGAAATTGTGTGTGCGTTTGACTTTATTGTTAGAATTCTAAGGATATTGTGTTTACGTTGGATCGTTGATGCTGGGGAAACATCTTTCTATCAATAAGTGGTGCTTTAGACGTATCACTTTGAACAATCGAGTCTTCGTGGTCTCCTTCGACGTTGAAGAATTTCAACGAAGTTGTCACCATGGATGATGTCAATTGCCCTTGACCACAGCATCAGCAAATGGCATTAACCGTAGGATTGTAAAGGGTATTTGCGCCAAACAGTCGAGTCTCGCAATGTACCGACATAGCGTGAAGAGTGTTCTCATGCAATGTCCATAGACACTGCTAGGCTCATTTGTTCGGATAAGCTAGGTCACTTCGTGAGGATTAGTGGTCTCAAAGGGTCCCCCCGGGGATATCGTCGGCGATTCTCAGATCATCATAAGCGCCATCGTCGGGCGCTTCAGCGAGCTGGCGAAGCATGATCGCCGGGTGTTTGCCCAACTCCTGGAGCTCCTTGAATATAATCACCGGTTTCTCCGCTAGCTTCAAAATGCGCTCCTTATTGCCATAACAGATCACCAACACGTATTTCAGCCAGTCGTCGCGCGGGATGTGGTGGCGCTTCATCGCCTGCTGCAAGATCTTGAGGCACAGGTCGTCCAGCGACGCCCGCAATTGCTTGAGCGGCTCCGCGGCGGTGGCGAGCTTCGGCTGCAGCGGCTGCAGTTGTAAAGTAGGCGGCGCTTGCTGTTGCTGCTGTGGCTGTAGAGTAGGCGGCTGTTTAAGCAGCTGCATCAGCGGTTTGGCGTCAATACCACGATGCAACGGCGGCTCGGGGTCGCGGCGCCGCTGCTGCACTTTCTGGAGCTTGAAGTCGGGCGCCAGGCGCGTCTCCGTGAGCTTGGGCACCAGCTGCTGGACGATCTTGCCCGTGCCCATCGAAAGAAGCGTCGCCTGCGAGAAGCGGTGGTCGGGCGCCAGCAGCGGCACCGAGTCCACCAGGGTGAAACTGCCCGCTTTATGTATCTTGGGCCGCGCCGCCAGCTGCGCCGGCACCACCATCGCTGCCATCAGGGTCGGGGGAGTGCGGTCGTCATCCCCCAAGTCCAGGCGATGGCTATACGTGGGCGAGTCCATGGTGCTGGTGGAACCAGGGTCTAATGTCGGCGTCGGCAACGGTTTCAGGTCTTTAAGCAAGCGAATGACGGGGATCAAGTCCTTTTTGAGGCGATTAAAGTTGTCGTTAAGCTTGCGGACGTCGACTTCCAGTGGGGTGAGCCCCCCCAGCTTATCGGGCAGCGTCGGCAGCTGGAGGTCGGGCGCCAGCGCCAGCGACGCGAGCGCCAGCGCCACCGCCTGGGAGACGCCGCGCAGCAGAAGGCGCTTCACCGTCTCGCGCACCAACACCGTCAGTAGCTGGAGCAGCTCGAGCGCCACGGCGCCCAGCGCCCCCGCCACGCCGGCGTCGATGTCGCCAAACAGCTTGGCCGGGTGGCGCTGGTGGTGGTGGGCGATAAGCTCGCTGATATGCTTTTTGATCACGAGGCGCAGGTGGAGCAGCGCCACCCCGATCTCGCGGAGGTGTTCCAGCGTCAAGTGCGGGAGGAGGGCGCCGTCGACGTTGTGCTCGAGGAAGGCGGCGGCGGCGGCGCGCTCGTCGGCGGGGAGCACCAGGTGGACGTACTGCAGCACCTGCGCCGCGTCCCACTTGAGAAACAGCTCCGCGGGGCGTTTGTCCAGCATGGTGTGGTGGGCGCCGTTAGATTTGGCAATGGGCGCGCTGTTGGTCGCGACGAGCCCCCGCTGACTCAGCGATGACAAAGACAGACTGTGAACGATTAACCCTTTGATCGACAAGTTGACGGTATAATTACATCAATAGGTTCTTCCATCATACCAAACAGAAGCGTCTGTTCGAATCGTTGATTGGACAATGGCTCATTTTCAGGACTCCTTTGAGGAAATAAGCTTCTCTGTTAGGTACTAGAAGCAGCCATCACTACTCCCAATTGAGACAGAGATACGTAATCGACTGAATCAAGGCAAAAGGCTTACCAAAGCAGTATGTACACGCGAGTAATCTTTCCAGAAGCAGTCGATGAGCATCAACACATACGTCGCCTCCAAAGCGGGGGCGAGTGGCTTAGTAGCCTCTGCGGCTGTACACCTAATAACAAAACAAAACGGACATATACTTTCATAGTACTCTAAATTTGCATCAGCGACTTGCTGATATAATGCAATTATTCCACCTTATCTCTCAATTTGAATGTAGTCGTAATCTCCATCAATCTCACTTTCCTAATAAATTTTGATAATTCTTGATAATCTCTGCTCTCCTTAAACTTTGGCAATTTTCATGAGTAAGTGCAACAAACCGACAACAATTTCAAAAATTTATTGGAAAAAAAGAGACGGTTTCAGCTGATTCTTATTTGGACTTTCAAACTCCCCTTCTTGTTGTTTTGTTTGACGGTGTGTTTTAGCTACTACCCCCGAAAATGGCAATTTGTGACGGGGGTGCCGGTGGCGGGAATGTGACGTGACATCGCCGGCAGGCGTTTTTAATTATGGTCGGATACCGTCGGTTATAGACACCCACGCGTCGGCCGGGGGTACCGCCACCATCGGCGAAAAACCATTGAGGATTTAGCCGACGCTAACTCTCGGCTCCTGCATATAACATCGGCCCAAGTTGACCGACTTATAGCCGATCAGAAACACTTCGCTTACTGTACTCACGGTGACGCATGCAATAGAGCCTCAAACATAGCAAAACTTTTTTTTTTTAGTAATCAAGATAACAAACGTGATGTACCCTGTGGAACATACCTTTACTCAATCGGGATTTTAACCCCATGACATTGATCACGTGAGAAGCACCGAGCGGAATATGAAACCACTCTCGCTATTACCTTCTCATTGAACTAGACTTATATCTTAAATGTTTCTGATGTTTATTGTCCATATGCTAACTCCCAAAATAGATCTTATCGATGAAGCGTTCTTGCGCTAGCGAACCGGCCTTCAGCAACTGGCCCACCACCACTTTCACTTCAGGAAAAGCGTGGAATATACGTCGAAGCCCCATCTCCGTACACAAGTAAGTGACAAGCACGATATCCTCCGGTTTAATCTTGTGGTCAACAAGGATCTGGATCGCCATGATCGCGGCGGCACCCGATATGATCTGCGCATCGACAAGCATCACTTTTACCGGTTTCGCCAGCTGCTTAGGAATCAGCTGGTAGTGCAATTGCGGTTCCCCCGTGGTCGAGTCCAGCTGGATAAGCATTTTCCCTACGGGCGTGCCCCTGAACGCCTTACGGATACTAGTATCGAAACAGTCCCCCAGCGGGATTACCAGTACAATCATGAGTTCGTGAGTATCTTTTACTCCCGTAAACTGGTAGCCATCAGGAGTGGTGACGATTTCCTTAGTGGTGGAGTCGGCGAAAAACGTCTGGCACGCTTCCTCAATAAGTAAGCGGCTCATGCGATTGAAATAAAAGATGAAGTCGTCGCGGCACGTGTCTTCCGCGAGCAAAATCAGGTTGATGCCCACCACCTGGTTCGTCTGGGGCAACACCCGGAGGTTGGCTTCCGGCAAGGCGATGTTCATCCCCAACCGGCGCAATTGGTCCAAGTGTTTTAGCGACTTCGCCGCCAACTGGGTATTGATGTGTTTGATCATAAGATCGATGGCGATCGTGTTGTCTAGCCCCCTCGGGATGACCAAGTCGGCGTTGGCCATCGTCGGCGCCACGAACTTGAGCGCGTTGGGCTTGACAAACCGCTCCCACTGCTGCAACAGCCCCGGCAAATCCCGGCCGCGAGTCATGATGTCCCGGGTGAGTCTGCGGGCCAAGCATATGTCTAGGTCGGTGTCGACAAACACCTTCAAGTCCATCATTTCCAAAAGACGAGGGTCATAGAGAGCATAGATTCCCTCAATGATGATGACGTTGGTCCCGTACAACAGAATGACGCGGTCGGTGCGGTTGTGGGTCGTGAACGAGTACACGGGGATCTGGACGCGTTTCCCCCGCTTCAAGTCCCGCACCGTCTCGATCATGTACTCCATGTCGTACAGGTGCGGGGTGTCGAAGTCGAAGTTGTTGGCGAACGCCTGGGCCAGCTCCTCGGGGGTGAGAGGGTTGTAGAAGTTGTCAAACAGAAGGAGCACCGTCCACGGCTGGTTGATGCGGCCAATGATCTGCTGGGACACCAGTGTCTTGCCCAGACCACTGAACCCCGCGATCCCGATGATGTAGGGCTCATCCCACGGCGGACGGTACTTCATGGTTGCCCCTGGGGTGGGTGGATCAGCTGCGATGGCCGTCGCGCACTCGCCCGTCAATACTGCAGACAACCTCAGAGCCAATGGCTATTGTAAGCGCTTAGCTAATCAGAGCAACACGGCGTGAATTTCTGGTGTCGATTGCGGGGTTTGCTTGCCTGGTGGGGAGGGGCGAGAGTATCCGCTCGGTTGTTATCTTCACCGACGCCATCCAGGGGGGGTAATACCCAAATATCCAACGCTGCCAAGCAACGCCACCGCTACATATCAGCGGGCACATGCTAAGGGGTCGCCGCCATCGCATGCTGCTTGACGTACACCCACACACCCTCGAACCCCTGGTACATACACGGTGCGGTATATTGGTACACGGCTGGAGACACGAGATTTATTTGCTCTACGGCTGCCCTCGAGAAAACAAATCCCGCAATCGGCTGAAGCTCATGTGGCTGACCACAAAGTCGGGACTGCCGGAATCACAAGAAGCTTAGATGCAGAAAGCGCACCGCCTCGTGGTGGCGACGGCGGCCCCTACCACTAAAAACTCGCCGGCGAGGCATCGAAAAATTCATTCAATTACCTCGTCGGATGTAGAGACCTAGAAATGCTGCAATATCGTTGCTGCCGGCAAAATTGATGCCTCGGGGATATTCCCAAGTTAGTTTCGCCGTTGCGTAGGTGGTGACGCCCCTGCATGTACCCTCCATTTTAACTTCGGCGAGATAAATGACGCATGAGGTGTTTTATCCCCACGAATGCGAACTAGGTAGGGAAATACGGCCACGCCAATGGCGAGGGACTCGTCCACGATTGGATTAGCTAGAAATAGGTAGTAATACCACCTACACTATAGCAGCACATTTCTCCTTCATCTTATTTCCCCGAACTTGCCATGGTTCGGCGGTGAATGCGCACATTTGAGGCTACTTGCGAGTAAACAGTGCACGTCTAAATTTCGCAACCATCGGCGAGGTTCACCGATGACAAAATTAACAGCCTCGTGGTATATAATGAATCGCTGATCCCCTGCAAACAACATCAATAAACAAATGTCTACCGATACCGATAGCATCAAAAGCTTTGGTACCGAAAAGAATTTCCAACCTGATGGGGGCGCCGTCAAGGGGCACCGCACCCTCTCCCGCAAAATGACTCGAGAACTGATTGAATCGTACATCGAGAACGACCCCGGTGTCAAGAAGGTCCGCTCGAAGCTCGAGGAAGATGGTGGTGGCGCTGGCGCTCTTGGCCCGTTGACAGAGCCCAATGACTTCGATGTCTACACGCCAAAGGCCGAGGCCGACACCGATTTCAATGACAATGACGAATGGAAGTACCCCATCGACGCCGAAACGGGGTTGAGAATTGTCGAATTCGTCCCTGGCGACAAGGCCAACCCTAAAAACAGATCGCATTTGGTCAAATGGGTGTGGACTGGGTTGCTTGGTTTTATTTGTTTCGTGGTGGCTTTGGGTTCAGCCATCGTCACCGGTGACATGGAACGTCCCCAAAAGACGTTCCACGTGTCCGAAGAAGTGGTCATTTTGGCCTCCGTCACCTGTTTCGTGCTCGGTTTTGGTTTTGGTCCACTTGTGTTTGCGCCTCTCTCCGAAGAACTTGGTCGGCAAAGAATTTACGCCGTGTCGTTATCGCTTGGTCTTATCTTCATTATCCCGTGTGGCTTGGCTCACAACATCACCACGCTTATCATGGGTCGTTTGCTTGATGGGTTGGCGTTTTCGGCCCCCATGTGTCTTATTGGTGGTTCGTTAGCTGACATTTGGGAGGCTCAAGAACGTGGTACCGCCATGGCTATTTTCTCGGCTGCTCCATTTTTGGGTCCGGTGATGGGTCCCATTTTCGGTGGTTTGCTTTGTGACCACGCCCCGACGTGGAGATGGGTGTACTGGTCGTTTTTAATCATTGGTGGGTTTGCCAGTCTTCTTTTCATGGCATTTGTCCCCGAAACGTATGCGCCGACCATCTTGAAGCGCCGGGCTAAGGCTCTCAGAAAGAAGACCGGCGACGAACGTTACCGCACCGTTCAAGAGTTGAAGCCAAGAAACTTCAAGGAAATGGCCCACGACTCATTTTTGCGTCCGTTTTTGCTTCTTTTCGAATTGATTGTGTTCTTGATTGCCCTTTACATGGCTGTTTGTTACGGGTTACTTTACATGTTCTTTTTTGCTTACCCCGTCATCTACCAGGAAGGTAAAGGCTGGAGTGCGTCGAAGACTGGTGTCATGTTTATCCCCATCGGTGTCGGTGTGCTTGTGGCCACCGGTGTCGCTCCGTTTGTCAACAAACATTACAACAAGATCGCTCAACCCTACAGAGACCGTAACGAAATGCCTCCCGCCGAATTGCGTTTGATTCCCATGATGATTGGGTGCTGGTTTGTCCCTCTCGGTATGTTCCCCTTCGCCTGGTCGTCATACCCTCGTATCTCGTGGGCCGGTCCTTGTTTCTCTGGTTTCGCTTGTGGCTTTGGTTTCTGCTTGCTTTACAACCCCGCTAACAACTACATTGTCGACTCGTACCAGCACTACGCCGCCTCTGCTTTGGCTGCGAAGACGCTCGTGAGATCGTTGTGGGGTGCCTGTTGCCCGTTGTTTACCATCCAAATGTACCACACCTTGAACTACCAGTGGGCGCTGACGTTAATGGCGTTTATTTCCCTCGCGTGCTGTGCCATTCCTTTCATGTTCTACATTTTTGGTGCTAGAATCAGAAAGAGATCCAAGTACGCCTACTCGCCCGAGTAGAAAAATTTTCAGTTGCATACATACCCTACATAATCTCCGCATACTTTATAAGTTAATAGTTAAATTCTAATGATCCCCTAACAAAACTTGAGTGACAATGTCAACTTGCATAAAGTTGCATCGAGTGGCACGCACTAACCATTGACCTCGTTATAGATGCCAAAGGATAGTATTGTGGAAGTCTTGGGTGTGTAGCCGTCATATCAACCACATAACCCTAACTTCGAGATCCACACGAACGTTGTATCTATTTGAGACTTGAGCGGCATAATAAAACACGGTGTAGGAACATCTTTCAACAAGGTCAACTTCATGAAAGCCTTCTGCATGGTGACATCATTAAACCTTATTTATCATTCACTTCGTATTAGAGTTGCTGCATCTTCGGAGCTGGCGAAAATTTTCCGGCCCCACCCCCCAGATGATTATATACAGGTCCTCTAAGAGAATCAGTGTAATCTACACTTCATTAAAACCAAGAAAACTTTTGATGTTTATAGAGAGTGAAATACCGGATACACTCAAGTGTCCACTTACGACGCTTACGCCTTATCGAGTTGGACGATGTTCAGATGGTAACCCAATTTGCGAAGCGTCAAACAAGTATCGCAGCCATAGCCTTGGACTGAGTTCATGGTGATGTCACCGTTCCAGTAGTCGGCATACACCTTCGACATAGGCAATCCGAGCCCCAAATCAACGGCGTGCGGACGTTCAATCAAGTTCTTCAACGTCAGTTTCTTCAGCGCCATATCCACGAGCGATGTGTGATGCAACGCGTCTTCGGCTTTGCTAAACAGAGGACACCCTTCCTGGTCATTTTTCAAGTTGGAGTAGATCTGTAATCCCGGGATCTGGTGGAAACTCATGAGACTTTGACGAGCAACATCGGGGTCTTTATGGAATGACCACACCTTGTTGAGTTGTTCCTGACTCATACCTCCCCCTTGGTCACTGATGCGAATAATGATGTCCTTGGTGCCATTAATGATACTAACTTTGATTGGAGGCAATTTCAGCGGCGTGCCTTGGCCATGAGTTCTCACCGTAGCCTGGAGCGAATTACGCACGATTTCACCCAACATGTAATGTAAATGAGGCACGATGAAGGGGAAGGTGGTAGTGGTGTCACCGTCAATCTCGAGGTCAGGTAAGAGGTCGATAGGGTAGTCGATGGTGGTTTTGATCAAGTCGGTGACATACTTCAAGTGGTAGGCAGCGTTACATTCGTCAAAGATCTCGCCAATATAGTCTGCCGACTTACGAGCATACGGCTCGTTTTCGTAGATTGCCGAGAGACTCAAGTGCTCCTCAACAATGAGCCGTCTCAGGATTCGCAGCCTGAGGATCCGCGACATGAACGGGTCCAATTCTTCCGGACCGACATTGGTATGCAAACTCACCTCCAATGCGCCCATCATGAGATGGGGTAAGTTGTAGACGTGGTCATCCAACATCTGCAGCATTTTGCGGCACGCTTTGGCGTTATCGGCGATCAGAGTGATGGGTGGTTGCCGCCGGAACGAGTTGAATGTGGTATAGTACAGCTCGTACACCTTCTGGATATGGTAGTTATTAACGACGCCAAAGGGTAACAGCTGGAGGTCCTGGATGCGGAGGGCAAGCCGGATGGGGATCTCGATCCGCACAAAGTTCGCCGACGAAAGCACTTTCTGCTTGGTCAACGTTTTCCCGTACCCGGCCAACTGTCGAAGCAGCACTGGGTGAGGTTTTTCATTGGCGTATTTCATCAACACTTCGTTCTGATAAAAATGCTGAGGGTTAAGCACGTCGGAGTACGTCGGGTATGGGCCCAAGTTCTTGATGTTGGACGCGATTTCCAGCTTATTTATCTCGGACAAAAACCCCTGGGTGATGTAGTGATGAGGACTGATGGTATCCAGGGTGTGGACCCGTCGGGTGGCGGCTAGCGTTCGCAACATGGCTGCCAGCAGTTACTTTGCGGGGGAAGGTATTAGATATTCGTCGCCGGTGCCGGAGTGCGACTGTGAACACCGGTCTGACTCACACAACTCATTTGTGCGAAGGACATGGCGTAGATCAATATATCAAAAAAGAGGGAATGGTAGGAATTGGGCAACTACTGTATATCATAAGGGGTGCTCGAAACAAGTTTCAAGGATCGCCTCCTTGCTATGAGTAGCGAATAGCCGTATTGGGCAAATCGCCCATGTATGATGGAGAGCCAAGATCTACAATTGGCATTAGCCCTGCCGCCTTGGTGAATCCAACCTCGATAATCGAAACATGTCCCATTTTCGTCAATGCAGGCGCTGCTCGCAAGTCGCGTCGGCTAGCCGCTTCATAAATCACTCGCATCCACCCAGAGCCTGAAGCCTCTCCCACATAACTCGAGTAAAATACGTTGACAATTGCTATAATGCATTCCTTACCTACACTTTGAACCGCTTGATTCCCATTAAAATTGGCCATTTACAACCATGTGGGGTTGTTTGTTTTGATTGACCCCTTCACACACTGTCCTCGTTTCGAAACATGCATGGTGAGGTGATCAAGAAATGTACCACCACGGCAGGCATCAACATTAATAGCCCTACAAATCCCCACTATTCTTCACAGTGACGGGGAATGAGTGTTGCCGACTCTCATGGGGACTCATTGCTCGCGTCAGACGCAAACCACCCTCTGTTATCATCGATGATCGATAACTCATTGGCAGCGCTGATGGACCTGTTGGCTCTGCTTGGACACTTGCCCCTGCTCAACCATACCCGAACGCTGTTTCTGTCGGTGCTGGGCGGCTTTGGTATGGGTACGATGAAGATGGGGGCTGAGTACGAAGGCGTCGACGTCAAACACCATCCCACGGAAGTGGTGTACCGCATGTGGAACCGGTTGGTGCTGGGGTCAACTGAGAATAGTGTCTACAGTTTCTTCAAGGCTAACGCGAACGTGGTCAGTGTCAACGAAACATGCCCGCCCCAGATCCTCGAACATTTATACTTCCACCACTTGGGAGTGGGTAATCGCAGTGATACACCACCACCACCGCGGCCGTTTGTGTCGGTGTTAGGGTATTGGGCTCACCTTGTCAATCGCATCCTGGCGTATTGCCAAAACCTTGACCTGGCGGTATCGTCATCAGATAAAGCGTGGGCTTATACGACAATTGATGCGATGTTGGAGCTCATGGGCTCGGACGACGCTCAAGAAATGTGCTGTTTGATCATGATCCAAGAAACAATGGTGATGAAATCGCTACATCTGGCCCACACGTTCGTTCCTGAAGTTGACTACATTTTACAGAGTATTGCCACCACGTTGATTCCTAAATACCCTAATTGGATCACGCATATGCTGTGGGTCAAAAACGTTTCAAGCTTCGACAATAACCTCTCGAAAGCAATTGACTTTTACCTTGAGTGTCTTGAACACGGAGACAAATGGAAAACACACGAGGTGGCGCCTCGCTTGTGTATGGCGTTGTTGACGATGCACCAATTCTGGTCTGAAGACCAAACGCTGTGGTTTCACACTTACAATCAAATCCTGAATAAAGCGTCGGTGTCAGCGAGTCTCTGCTACTTTTTATACGCGACGATGAGAACATTGGGATTACGGGACACACGTATCGAGCCGACATTTGCATATTTCACCAACCCACCGCTCCCTTGGCTTCGTCAAGATGCTAAACCTCTGGTCAAGCTTTTGTGGACGAAATCCCTCAGGCTTGCGGCGATCACCGCTCTTGATCTCCTCTCTAAAGTCGTCAGGCTTGAGCTTGAATGTTTGGAGGTATCCCATCCAGTGTCGGACCGATTATACCACCAAATCGTCGCCGCCAACATTACAATGGTGGCACAGGCAGTGGTACCATTGATTTCCGGAGGCAAATCCACCCTCCACTATGGGCTTGCTCGCAAAGTATTTTGTGAAATCACTGATGCAAACGTCACCTGCCCTTCATGGGTGATTTGGCAAGCAATATTCGATGCTGTCATCAAGATCGATTGTCAGCCATATCACAAAGCAGTGACGGAACTCGTCACGGGTTGGAGCATCAACAGTCCGATACGGGATCAGATGGCCATTTGGCTAGCCAAAAACGAATAATACCTTACCCTCAATCAATGAATGACCACTTGCTCTTTTGCCTCTTATCCTCTTATCGCTAAACGATTTTACCTCTATTTGTGCGCGCGATATTACGAGCCCGCGGTGACGATATCTCATCGCGCCAGGCCATCACGCTCACGCCAGACCTCACCTTCGCAAACTCACATCCCCATACCTCGCCACCATGGTGCTTAAACTGACCACCGCCGGCAACGTGCTGGTGTACCAAGTGTCAGGGTCCAATGTTGCGCGGCTGCTTCCCGACTGGATTGCCAAGAAGCGGAAACGGGCCCTTAAAAACGATCTTGACTACCAGAACCGGATCGAGCTTGTCCAGGACTTTGAGTTCGAAGAGGCCTCCAACAAGATTAAAGTGACTCCCGATGGGCAGTACGCGATGGCGACGGGGACTTATAAGCCCCAGATCCACGTGTACGACTTGGCCAACTTGTCGCTCAAGTTCGACCGTCACACCGATAGTGAGAACATCGATTTCGTCATCTTGAGCGACGACTGGACCAAGCTGGTCCATTTGCAAAACGACCGTCACCTTGAGTTCCAGACCAAAGGTGGCATCCACTACAAAACGAGAATCCCCAAGTTTGGGCGTGCGTTGACTTATAACCCCGTGAACACCGATATCCTTGTGGCGGCGCTGGGCAACGAAGTGTACCGGCTAAACTTGGAGCAGGGCCGGTTCCTCAACCCTTACACGTTAGAGACCGACCAAGGGGCCAACTGTGTCGACATTTCGTCCGCCCACGGGCTCGTCGGGGTGGGGCTTGAAGAAGGTACGGTGGAGTTCTGGGACCCACGACTGAGACTGCGAGCAGCCAAATTGATGGTCAACGACCAGAACCAAGTCACCGCCCTCAAGTTCCGTGATGACGGGCTCAACTTTGCCGTCGGTACTTCTGACGGCAACTCGTTGCTTTACGATCTCCGTACTTCGGTTCCCCTGGTGGTTAAGGACCAAGGCTACGGCTATAGCATCAAGAACTTGATTTGGCTCCCTGGTGAACGGGTGCTTTCGTGTGACAAGCGTATCGCCAAGATCTGGGACCGCAATAACGGCAAGCCGTTCGCCCTGATGGAACCCAACGTCGACATCAACGATATCTGCTGGGTGCCTGACTCGGGGATGTTTTTCATGGCTAACGAAGGGATTGCCATGCACACTTACTACATCCCCAACTTGGGGCCTGCTCCCAAATGGTGTTCGTTCCTCGATAACGTCACCGAAGAACTTGAAGAAAAGCCACTGGCCCTGGTGTACCTGAACTACCGATTCATCACCGCCGACGAAGTCAAGAAACTCAACTTGGCCCACTTAGTAGGCACCAAGGTGATGCGGCTGTACATGCACGGGTTCTTCATCGACAACGAGTTGTACGACAAGGTGTCGCTTATCGCCAACCCCAACTCGCTTAGAGACCAGCGTGAACGTGACATCCGTAAGCGGATTGAAAAGGAACGTGAACTGCGGATCCGGTCTACGGGTGCTATTACCAATACTAAGGTTAAAGTCAATAAGGACTTGGCGAAGAAGTTGCTGGAGAAGCAAGGTGAAGATGCCGCCGAGCTGGTGGTCAACGACGACCGGTTCAAGGAACTCTTTGAGAACCCTGATTTCGCTATTGATGAGCTGTCACATGACTACAAGCAATTGAACCCGGTGGGTAAACCTGAGAATAAGCCGAGAGGGTTGACCGCTGTCGAAGAAGAAGATATGATGGAAGTCAACTCCGACGACGAGCTGAGTCTGGAGTCGGAGGCTGAAGAAGACGATGCCAATAAGCAGAAGGTGCGGGAGAAGATGGCGAGAATCCAAAAGGAGCGTGAGGAAGCCACCAAGTTTATGAACGAGATGAAGGCGGCTGAACCCCAAAAGAAGACGAAGGAACTCACGTTGGGCGACCAGGCGGCTCGTATCCATAAACCCAAGCCTAACCGCGACCTGAGAGTGCGTCGCCACGCCCGCGGCGAAGCCGAAATCACGTTTGTGCCTAAGAAGAAGCCGTCGAAGCGGGAGGTCGAGCGCGACGAAGAGAAGCAAGGGCGGGCGAAGCCGAGAGCGCTGAAGGAACGCCGCAGTGGTGGCCGCAACCAGTTCCGGGGGATGTAAGCGGGTTAGCATTCATGTACATTAGAATCGAACAGTTAATACATAAAGAATTTAATTGATTGTGGACTGCCTCATCTCGGTGTCTGTGCGCACGGCATCCAAAAACCTAATACGTGACACAAACGCTCGCCACCCAAACGCCACCGGGTGTGTCTGAATCACCAAAAGCAATCACGAAGATCGTTATTCGTTTTAGTCAACCCTACAATGCCAAAGAACAAAAACTCCCAAAATTATGATAACATATTCCAATTTGTCTTCATCTACGTGTCGCTACGTGTGTGGGGAGGGGCGGCTGGCACCGCTCCTTTTTTCTCTCTGGGGTGAGAGCGATAGCCACGATAACCATAGAAGATATCGTATAGATTAGACAGAAAAAATCGTTGAAAAAACACCAAAACCACACCAACCGAAAGCTAGAGAAAACTATAGTAAAACCCACCATATATTTTGTCATCATTTTCGGTAGTTTACCCAGTGGAAGGCGGTGGAACTTCGGATGGTAGCGCCACAAGAGACACCGTATAACAGGGGCCGCGCCCTTACCGCCGGAGATTTTTCACCACCATGAACCAATACGTGGACAACCCCACGGTGGCGTCGCTGACGTTGCTCGTCAGCAAGCCCCTATGGAAACGACCCTACGTGTGGCCGTTCACCGTGATCTACCCATTATTCCTCCAGGTCTACCTCAACCACTACGACGAGTACATTAAGGGTTCGGAATGGACCTTTGTCTACTTGATCACCATCATCTCCATCAACTTGTTGTTTTGGTTGATGCCCTACTGGAACTTGGACATTGCCCAGCGGTTCAATTACTCCGTCGTCAAGACGGTGGACGAGGCGAAATACATCAAGATCGACCCCATCGCCAACACCGGCGTCGCCGAAATCTGCGAGATCTTGCGCTCCCCCGATCAAACGCTGTTTTTATTCCAAAAGAGACGCCATTTGTGGCAACCTAAGCTGGACAACTTTGCCCCGCCAAAGTTTGTTGTCGACGAAAAGCCCCGTCTCGAGGTGTTCCAACAACTGAAGGGGCTTAAATCTGAAGAATTGGCTGGTTTGACGAAAGTGTACGGCACCAACAAGTTTGATATTCCCGTGCCCACGTTTATGGAGTTGTTTAAAGAGCACGCGGTGGCGCCGTTCTTTGTGTTCCAGATCTTCTGTGTCGCGTTATGGTGTATGGACGAACAGTGGTACTACTCGCTCTTCTCGTTGTTTGTCCTCGTGGCGTTTGAGATGCTGACGGTGTTTCAGCGCCGGGTGACGATGCTGGAGTTCCAGCAGATGGGGATCAAGCCCTACCCTATCTACGTCTACCGTGACCACAAATGGATGCAAAAAGGTACCGACGACCTCTTACCTGGCGACGTGGTGCTGGTGGTACGTACCAGTGAAGAACTGGCCCTCCCCTGTGACTTATTGCTTTTGGACGGCGAGGCGATCGTCAACGAAGCCATGTTGAGTGGTGAACTGACCCCTTTGCTTAAGGAATCGATTAAATTGCGTCCCAGCTCGGAAAAGTTTGACCCGGAAGGATTCGACAAGAACTCGCTCCTCCACGGGGGGACGATGGCCCTCCAGGTGACCCCGGCAGCCCTGTCCTCTATCCCCGCCGCTCCCGATAAGGGGGCGCTTGCCTACGTGTGCAAGACCGGGTTCGAAACGATGCAAGGCCTGCTTGTGCGGATGATGATCTTCTCGCTGGAACGGGTGCTGGTGGGTAACAAAGAAGCGTTTATGTTCATCTTGTTCTTGCTTCAATTCGCCATTGTCGCTTCGTGGTACGTGTGGGTGGAAGGCACCAAGATGGGCCGCATCCAATCGAAGCTTATTTTGGACTGTATCCTTATTATCACCCTGGTGGTCCCTCCTGAATTGCCTATGGAATTGACGATGGCAGTTAACCTGTCGTTGCAACTGTTGCTTAAGTTCTTTGTCTACTGTACCGAGCCCTTCCGCATCCCCTTGGCCGGCCGTTTAGACGTGTGCTGCTTTGACAAGACCGGGACGTTAACCGCCGAAGACCTCAACTTCGAAGGGCTTGCCGGCCTCAACCCTAACCTGGAAGACTTGCACCACTTGTACACCGTCGACGAAGCTCCCGTTACTACTCAATTTGTTTTGGGTACCGCTCACGCTCTTGTCAAGTTAGATGACGGCGAAGTCGTTGGTGACCCTATGGAAAAGACGACGTTAAAGCTGGCGAAATGGATCGTCGGCGAAAAGGATACCGTCACTAAGGATAAGCACAAGGCGAAGATCTTGCGCCGGTTCCAGTTCTCGCTGGCACTTAAGCGGTCGGCCACCGTCGCCCTGATCACCCTGAAGGATATGCCCGATAAGAAGAACTTTGTCGCCGTTAAAGGTGCCCCGGAAACTATTGCCAAGATGGTGGTGGACGCTCCTGCCAACTACGACGCCGTCTACAAGCTGTTTACCCGTCTGGGGTCGAGAGTGTTGGCCCTTGCCTACAAGTATCTCGACGCCAGCGTCAATGTCACCAAAGTCGACCGCGAAGACGTCGAACTGGACCTCCACTTTGCCGGTTTCATCGTGTTCTACTGCCCGCTTAAGCCCGACGCCGTCAAGACGATCGCCATGCTTAACGAACTGAGCCACCGCCTGGTGATGATCACCGGTGACAACCCGCTTACCGCCGTCCACGTCGCTAAAGCCGTCGCCATCTGCGACCCCGCCAAGGACGTGCTCATCTTGGATGCCCCTGAAGACCACCACGCCACCGAGGAACACCACAACTTAGTGTGGCGCAACGTCGACGAGCTGGTGGTGATCCCGTTCTCGCTGGACGACAAGCTCGACGTCACTTTGTTCGACAAGTACGACGTGTGTGTTACTGGCTACGCTTTAACCCACCTCACCAGCCACCCGCAAATTGCTAAATTGTTGCGCCACTCGTGGGTGTACGCCCGGGTGCTGCCGCTGCAAAAGGAGTTCATTATTAATCTGTACAAGGACGCCGGCTACAACACGTTGATGTGTGGTGACGGTACCAACGACGTCGGTGCCTTAAAGCAGGCCCACATCGGGGTGGCGTTGCTTAACGGGACCGAGGATGGGATGAAGAAGATCGCCGAACAGAAGAAGACGGAAGCGCAAATGAAGGTCTACGAAAAGCAAGTGAGAATCATGACCAACTGGAACCAGCCGGTGCCCCCCGTGCCCTTGGCGATCGCTCACATGTACCCTCCCGGGGTGCTGAACCCTAAGTACTTGGAAGCGGTGGCTGCCCGTGGCGTGGAAATCACCGACGAGTTGAGAGCGGCCGTCGCCGCTGCCGTCAAGGCTAACCAGCCGCTTAAAATCACCAACGATTCCGGCGCCCAGGCGCTGATGGCCGACGCGCTTTTGGGGGCCCTCAACGACGCCGACGAGGACGAAGCCCCCAAACTCAAGTTGGGTGATGCCCTGGTGGCGGCTCCGTTCACGTCGAAGCTCGCCAACGTGTCGGCGGTGACCCACATCATCAGACAAGGGCGGTGCGCGTTGGTGCTGACGATCCAGATGTACAAGATCTTGGCGCTTAACTGTCTTATCTCGGCCTACTCGCTTTCCGTATTGTACTTGGCCGGGATCAAGTTTGGCGACTCGCAAGCCACGGTGCTGGGGATCTTGATCTCGGTGTGTTTCCTCCTGGTGCTGAGAGCCAAGCCGTTGGAGAAGTTGTCGTCGCAACGGCCGATGCCCGGGATCTTCAACAAGTACATCATGGGGCTGATTTTGGGCCAGTTCGCCATCCATATCATCACCTTAGTGTACATGGCGAGAGAAGTGTACATTTTGGAGCCGAGAGAACCGCAAGTCGATTTGGAAAAGGAGTTCAGCCCCTCGCTCTTGAACACGGCGATGTTCCTCTTGCAATTGGCGCAACAGGTGCTGACGTTTGCCGTCAATTACCAGGGTTACCCCTTCCGCGAACGCATCAGCGATAATAAGGGGATGTATTACGGGTTGATCGGGGTGGCGGCCCTCGCCCTCGCCGGGGCCACCGAATTCGTCCCCGAGCTCAACGAGGCGATGAAGTTTGTCCCCATGACCACCGAGTTCAAGGTGAAGTTGACGGGGCTGCTTTTGCTCGACTTCTTCGGGTCGTGGGCGGTGGAGTTGGTGACGAAGTACTTCTTCATGAACTCGGACCCCGCTGACATCGCCCAACACTAGCGTTGTTTTAATAGACCGTTTATATATAGCTAGAAATGTGAAACCGATAGACTAATCATCTGTATCGTACTATGAGTGTTCCCTGATGTTGGATACAAAATAACTCATTGTCTGGCGTTCCTCCGAAAAAGCCGATTCGGCAATTAATTTGCCTGTGGTTACGCTCCCCTCAATTTCACGACATCCAGACAGTCGTCCCCCCTAAAGTCTAACCACTGTGGCGCAATCAATCACATCATAAGTCTGGTTCTCCGATTTACATTACCGTGCCAATTGAGATGATTACGTGAACCGTTTGATTGCTAATAGCGTAATCAAGGAGACGAAGGCCTCATTTACGTAAAGTTGCAAGTGGTATTTCGCCAAAATCGACAAATTATCCTGTACACACGCCGACCGTCCATTACTAATTTGAAGATCTGCTCACGTGACCGTAACTGATAAGTAAGCTGTCAACGTTACCGCTGACAAACATCATAACCATCGGGGCCATTAGCCACTGTGGCACCATACACACTTTTCCTCTATAAATTCTCCACTATTCTCGGTCACTTGTTCTTCACTACACAATCTACAAATCCTTAAAACAATGACTGCCTCAATTGCTATCTTCGGTGCCAACGGTTTACTCGCCCAGCCCCTTATCGACGCGCTTACCCTGGCCACCTTTAAATCCAAAGTGGGCCTGATTACGGTGGTGACGCGCGAGGAACCCAAACAACGTCACAATGGCGTCGAGTACGTGATTGCGGATATTTCCAACCACGACCAGGTGCCCCAAGTGGTCGCTGCTCTTAATGGGGTCGACGCTATCGTGGGGCTCAATGCGCCCTTCCCGCAAGTGTACGCCGGCATTGAAGCAGTGTTGAAGCAAGTGAAGCCCAAGCTCTACGTCCCGTCGCAGTTTGGAGTCGATGTCCCCCGGGCGCAACAGATTTTGCCCGGGTTTTTGCTGGTGAAGACCGACCACTCCAAAGCGGTCCGCGCCTTGGGCATCAAAGTGGTCGACGTGTTTACCAGCTTGTTCCACTCCCCCAACGGGTTTAGCTACGAGATTGTTGGCCACTACGGCGTGGACAGCGACGGGCTGGTGACGCAGCGTGGTAACCCTAAGCAGAAGATCTCGGTGACTGCTACTGGTGACGTCGGCAAAGTTGTTGCGGCGCTCGTCACCGCTCTGGACTACTCTAAGCTCCCCGACGTGGTGAGAGTGGAGTCGGACCAAGTCACTCCCGAGGAAGTGCAACAGACGTGGGCCAAGAACCACGGCAAGTCCTTGAATGTGGTGAAGTCGATCGACCAGGCCGAGGCGCTCGCCGAAGTGCAAAGCGACTGGAAGGCCAACGGGTTCCTGCCCGACAAGTTCTTGTTCTACCTCCACTCGTTGACGTCGCAAGGGGCCAACGGCGGGACGTTGTTTGTCGAGAACGATAACCAATTGGTTAACCCCGGCATCTGGCAATGGGAAAAGTTCCACGCCGCTTAGGATATAGCCTGATATATGAATCTTCTTTTATATTTGTAAGCGTCTGAGTGGATGTTGTTGACTGACAACACGAAGTAGAAGCTACGACAATGGTTGAGATTCATTCCCAAGATTGATTATTTCGATACAGTTGTTTTATTGATGAAAATATCGTCGACTCAGATCTTGGCTATCTCAGATTGTTTGTGTTGAGCAGACACTAAGTAACTTTAACGGGACACCCTTGTTTGAGGCTGATGGTGAGGGAGACGTGCTTCAACGGCGGATAGGTCGAGTCTCCACTAAAGGGGAGCCCCTGTGGAAACGCTTGCACCATGCGTACCGTCACCAACGCCAACTCAGTAAGGGCAAACTGCTGTCCCAAACACACTCGGGGCCCCCCGTTAAACGGCAAATACGCCCATCCTGGATTCTTAAGGTCGACCCATCTTTCCGGTCGGAAAACATTGGCATCGTCACCGTAAACGTCGCGGTCTCGGTGCATACACCACGGCGAGTAGGTGATATTAGTACCTTTAGCCACGAAGATCGGCTGGGAGCCATCACTACCACCACCGCGAGGCAACGTGGTATCTTCAGCAGCAAACCTGACGTTTTCGGCAACAATGGGGTACATTCTAAGCACTTCTTTAAGCACCTGCTGGAGATACGGTGCTCTTTTAAGCGACTCAAACGTGACACTATCAGCCTCGGCAAACCGTTGATCAACTTCATCCTTTAATTTGGTGTAAATCTCGGGGTTCCGTCCGAGCTCGTACCAGAGGAACAGAAGCGTCGACGCCGTAGTATCTCTCCCCGCAAGCAAAATATTGAGGGCCTGGTCTCTAAGCACTTTGGGGTCGCGTGTCTGCTTCACCAACTCGTTCAAAAACGTGTATTTCCCCTCAGTCTTTGTGTCCAGTTGCGCAAGCGCTCGTTCGACATAGTGGTCGGCAAGCTCGTGGACGGTGCGGCAGTGTTTGCGGAACTGGGGCCCGTCGCCGAGGAAGTACATGTCCTGGAGGACGAAGCGGAAGGTAAGCTTTTCCTGGGCCTTAGTAAACAGCTCGGAAAAGGGTAATTGTTTCTGGCCGAGACTGTTCACCGATTCACCAAAGAGGAATTCGGTAGCCACATCCATGGTAAGACTGAAGAATAGCGGTTGTAAGTCGACCACGGCGCCCGGTTTACTATTTTTGATCTCCTGGATCAAGTGGTGGGCGTGGGACTCGAACATCAGCACATCAACAATCTGGTCCCGGTGGAACTGTGGTCTAAGGATTTGTCTCAGATGCTTCCATCCCTCGCCATCAAGAGTAAACACGCCGTTGCCCAATAACGGATAGAATATCAGGTGGCGTTTGCCCAAATGGAACAGCGTAAACTGGGTGGCAAGCATCGCCTTGATGTTCTCCGGGTCAAGGGTGACGATCACGGGCTGGCCCGCCACGTACATCGACAGCGTTTTCAACTGCGGGTTGGCGTCCACGATCCGCTGACTATTCTCGTAGTAGGTGCCAGCAGCGGTATGCTTGACGAGGTTAACCATATTGATATAGCCAAAACAGTGGTCTTGTTCCACTACCCCTAGCGGAGCGGTACGCCATTGGCGCTGAAGCTGGCGCCGGCGCCAGGCAAGTCGAGCTCGGAGACCAACAAGCACTGAAAAGAGCACGATCGCCACGTATACTAGAGTCATGGTGGAACCATATAATTGATCCGATTATCCGATTGTTTCGCTTGCTGCGGCTTACAGACGTGCGACTGGGACTAGGCGTGTTCCTTGCATAGATCAATACTCCATCGGAGTCAAGCGGATTAGATAGTGAACGAAATTTTCTTGCTTTGTTGTCAGTAATTTAGTAATGATGAGTACGACGTGGGTTTAATCATGTGGTGTCGTCAGTTCGAATTTTTCACATCAGAGTGTAGCTATTTAAACGATTCAAATGAGTGATAATGCCTTTAGTGAAGCTAGTCTAACTTGTTCAAGAGACGGTCAATAGGGTTACTCTAAAATAGCTTTATCGAAGCGGCTGGGTTGTACGTAAATATGAGAAATAGCCCCATAGCCCAGTTCTTGGCGCTTAGGTAATCGTGGATGTTCCCAAATGTCTCTTTAGACAATAATGACAATGGCGGTGCTGTCGAGCGTGAAACAGCTCACAGGTGCATTTACTTGTTCTAGCAGTCAAATTTTCCTGTCCCTCTTATATAAAAGGGAACCCCCCAGTGGTTTTGTTTAAAGCTATAACCATCAACTATACAGTTATCCCCGTAACTTCCTCAATCGGGTGATGGTTTACTTTATATGTCTATATCTCAGTACAATATTTGGACTTAACTATTATTTGTAGAACCCTTATCAATTTGGACGTCAGTGGTGGGCCATCAGAGTACGGCTTGGATTTATTTGGATCTCACAAATTCTTCCTCAACACAACGTTGCAGTGCGACAGCCCTCCCGGTGTCATTTCCTATTTCGCACCGCGCGTCGTATATACCCACACGCGTCACCATGGCCTCGAAGAAACCCGTGATCCTGATGATCGTGGCGGCGCTTAAGCCGCTGTACGGTATTGGTTACCAAGGGAAGATGCCGTGGCGGCTCAAGCAGGAGATCCGCTACTTCAAAGAGGTGACGTCGTTGGGGAATAACGCCGTGGTGATGGGGCGCAAGACGTGGGAGCTGATCCCCGCGAAATTCCGACCATTACCCGATCGAATCAACGTCGTTCTCTCGAGATCGGTTCCTGAAGGCAACAAAGTCGATAATGTCATCTACGCTAAGTCATTTGACGAGGCGTTGGCGAAGCTTGACCTGTTAAACGTCGATAACGTGTTTGTCATTGGTGGAGCTCAAATTTATAATACGTTGGCGTCTGATCCACGGGTGACCCATCTTTACCTTACTGAGGTTACTCTGACTAACCCCGAGGTGGCAATGGATACGTTTTTGGACTTTGATTGGAGCCAGTGGCACCAACAACCTCTGTCGCAATTGGAAGCTGTGGTGGGGCACGCGCTTGACCGGGACATCACTGAAGGGGACTTCACCTATAATTATACTCTCTGGACCAAAGAGACCAAGTGATCATCCAATTGATGCATAAAAGTGGAGCTGTCAATGAGATCGTGATAACTTCTTAGGGATTCTGCTGGTTACAGTGTCGACTAGGACAATCTGGAATTGAAATACTGGTCACACTTGCGCCTAATGATTTGAAGGGCTTCGAGGTCCAAAGTTATATAATTTAATAGGACACTCATGAATACAATCATTGGACAGACTGTTCAGTGTCCTCTCCCACGTTTACTTCGACATGAAACAAACAAACATCCTCGCTTCACCTAACGAACCTCTACACATCTAAATCAGTCACTTCATCGCCGTTCGGGCTTTGATCGCATCTTGCATTTACAAGTATGCATTTTGTTTACATCTCGTCTAGCGCTCACCTTGTATGCAGGCTAGCGAGTACGAGATGAATTTGACAAGTTTATCACGATTCTCTAAAGCCATGAGTTTAGATGGTGGAACGTTAAGACATAGCTGATTGTAATCGCCGTGGCCAGTTTAGTCAGACTCGACCCCCAAAAGATCAAAATTAGCAATTTTAAAAATTAGGATTTTGCTAGAAAAATAAAAATGGCGTTTGAAGTTTTTGATTTTCAAAAACTGGCATACTTTTTCAAACGCCATTTGGTGCCACCGATATATGTTGTTCTTTGCACTTTTGTGAGTAACATTTGTTAACACACCTATGGTCTAACTTGTCTGGGTCGATAGGAAATTGAGGGCGAAGGGCGCGTTTTTGAAGTTTTTGCGGTCACGCTTTTCAAGTTTTTTTATTTTGAAAAGACACCTAAAAAGGGGTGTAGCACCGCCTCCAGAAGAGTCAACCCAACGAGAGCAGTCTCGTTGGCATCATAGGAGCCAAAACTACCTTCGACTTTATTCTTTTCGCAGTGGGACCATTTTTCGTAAAGTTTGCTATCGGGGGTATCTTTAACTATATGCAGTATGCACATGCACTTAGGGGGTCCACTCAGTATTCGCGCAGATACATCATCACATCAACCAATTCATCGCCAGATGTCAAGTTATAGATGTAACAGTGAAGTTTTATCAACAATAAATCAAAAAATAGTGATTGGTTGATTTTTTTTGGAGTAGTACCAATCGCTGGTGGTGACACCAGGACGGTGGCTACACTAACTTTCATTAAATCTACCGCGACGCCTAAGTCAGTCCTCAGCCAAACAGGTTCACCTAAGAAATACAATATGGATTGATTCATGTATTCGGGAGTAAAAATACTCTAAAGCTATAATAGCAGTACTTCAGCTACTGAGCCTTGAGGATAGCAGGTGATTTAAGGCTGTTGTAGCTAATTTTTCATCCATTGAAGTTCAGAACAGTCTAATAATAATAGCTGGTTTACGGAGATGACTAGAGAATGTGGCAATGGCTTATGCACACCATTCCTTGCTCGTGCTACAGGTGGTCACAATTAGAGTATTTCATAAACATGGGTATATATCTATCTCGGTCGTCGTTACATCGCCACCACGTGGACGGCGGTCTCGATGCCGAGCTTTTTCAGTGTCTCGAACAGGTTCGTCGGGGTCGTCTCCTCGCTTGCCTCCTCGCGCTCTTCTTCTTCAATGATGGTACCAGCGGGGTAAGGGCCGTCCAGCGTCTGGTGCATCAATTGGTTAATGGGCAGCTCGTTGTCACGGTACTGAGACAACGTGTACAGCGTCGGGGCAGTGACGGGAGGGATGGAGTGGTAGTCGTCGTCGAGAGGACGGTGGTGGGCCGAGGTCAAATCAGTAAGCAGCTTGCTCGCCTGGAACGAGGGGATGTACTTCAGCACGTCCTTCATGTTAATGAACAACTTGCGGATCTCGGCTTTAACCAACTTGGTCAAATCGTCGTCTTCTTCCGGTTCTTCTTCGTCGAGGTTAGGCTCGATGAGCTCGACGTCGAGCCCTTCCTTCTGGGCCTGTTTGCGTTCCTCCTTATCGGCTTCCTCCATGTCGAACCGCAACTGGAGGCCAAAGCCAAGGATGATCAAGTAGTTCTTGTACTTCAAAAGCTCGGCCTTGTACTCGGCGATCTTCTGGTCGTAGTTGCTGATGATCCGCGAGTAGTTGGTGCCACCGTAAAGCTTCTGGGGGAAGTTGTTTAAGAACTTATTCTGCAAGCCAATGAACTCGTGGTACACCTTGCGCAAGTGGTTGTAGTACTTGTAGGTGCGAACAAACTGGCGCATCATCCCCGCGTGGTTGTTGGTGCCGTTAGTCTCCAGCAACACGTTGGAACCGTCGTTGGCCACCACGTAGTTCAGCAAGTATACCCCCTTAGGAATGGGCTCCCACTTTGAGATATACTTAAGCTTCTTGAATTGGTCGCGGTTGCCGATGAGCCCGTCCAAGTTCGTCCACCCGTACTCGATCAGCAGCACCAGCTCCTCCAACGTGGGGATGGCGGTGATCTTGGCCGCCCAGAAGTTACAGGCGTTGACAAACTCCAAGGCGATCTCGCGGGTACCCGCTTCAAAGATGAACTTCTTCGCTGGCTTCTTCAGCGTCTTGGGGAAAGTAAGTGACCATAGGATCATCTTCTTATTCAGCCCCGTGACCAACACCGGTTTCTCCATCAGCGCTACCGTCAGACAGAGGTTATAAGTGCCGACGTTGGCGGCATTGTTGAGCCAGTTACCGTCACCCACCACTTCGTCGTCGTCGACTTTCTTTGCCGGTTTCTTGTGCTTTTTGATCACCTTAGGATCAAACGAGTAGAGGGCAAGCTCCCCTTTCAGCACCACGACGAAGTTCTCGGTGAACTTGTTGATGGCGAGCGGCAGCAGTGTCAGCCCTCTCACCAGGGGCAGCGGCACCTGGGCCTGGCGGAAGAACAGCAGGAAGAAACCGGTACGGGTGCTACCAGTGGAAGCCAGGGGCATGGGCGCCTGGATCCCGTCGCCGTCGCTACCGACATCGTTGTTAAGCACTTTAAGCTTCAACAACCCTTCCTTGAGGTAAGGCGAACCCTGTAATTCCAACGTCAAATCGTAGCCGTCTTGGTAGTTATTAACGTTGAAATCCTCAAGGTTCTGGTAGCCGCCGTCGGAGCCCAGGGCGCCCAGGTCCAAGTGCAACCGGGTGATGTTGACGGTGTCAAACAGGAGCACCAGCAACAGGTCGTCGTGGAGATCCAGGTCGCGCAGCACCACCAGCAGCCGCAGCAGCCGCTTGTGGAGCTGGGACCCGGGGGCACCTGCGTCGCCGAGACGGCGCAGCCGCAAGTTCTGCATCGACAGCATCTGCAGCACCCGTCCCAGAGTCGTCAGGTTCAGGTTGGTGCGCAGAGCCACGGCGCCCAGAGCGAGGGCACGCCCGAAACCGACGCGCAGCGACCGGGAGCCGGCGGCACCAAGCAGCAGGCCGCCCGCGGTGTATTGCAGCACCAGCAGTGTCGCTGACAGCATGCGCTTCATCACCAACAGGGCGCGGCGGTTGTCGGCGGTGTCGGTCAGCCAGATCAGCGACCCCAGCGGCTGCCGCTGGATCTCCGGGTGATCGGCGGTGGGAGGCGCCACCGACACTGCGGTCGGCACCGACGTGGTGGCAGTACCGTTGACGTCGTTGTCAGTTGCCAGAGTAGTTATAGTAGTAGTGGCGGTGGTGGGGGCCGGGGGCGCCAGCGCCGCCGGGTCGCGTCGGGGAGGGGGCGCCGATGCCGTCAGGGTGGCGCCCTGCTGCTTCAAGTGCAACTCGTCCTTGAGCAACAGCTCGTAGTAGTTGGAGAGCTCGCGCTCGATGATGATGCGCTGCTTGATGCTCAAGTTCTTCAGCAGTTTGGGGTTCTGCTGGATGAAAGTGGTGAAGGTGTTCTTGATATAGTCCGCCTGGGAGATCTTCAGTTTCTTGTTCAATTCCAGGTTGTGCAACGCCGTATTGAGCAAGATCAACGAGTAGATGATGATGTAGATCTTTTCAAAATTGCGGGTGCAAAACACGTTGGTCTGGTGCTGCTTGATGTACAGCTTAGTGAACGACAGCAAGATGCGGTCTATCTCTTGGGATTCACCTTTCAAGTAAAGCTTAGAGCAAAGCATACGTGTCAGCGTCAACAAGTTAGCGTTCCACTTAAACAAGTCCATGTAATGGTTGCGGATCTTCAGCAGTTCCTCGTCGTTGGCGGCTAAGAATTGGGTGTATTCCTCGGGCTGGATCAGGACAAACTCTTCGTTAAACAACTTTTTAGCGATCTCGCGGTATTCTTTGTCCAGCGGGTCGTCGTGGGACTTCTTTTTCGTCGCCTTGGAGTCGGTAGACCCCGCCGACGTCGTCGACGCCTGGTCGACGCCAGCGCCGGCGCGGCCCAGCGCCGACCCGTGGGAGCTCAGCAGCACTTGCCTGGGGTGGTGGCGGGACTGCTGCTGTTTTTCTTGAGGCGTCAACGGCAACGGCTGGTCCTGTTTGGCCGTCAAATGGTGCTTGTCTGGGGTGACGTCGTGAGGGGTGGTAGCGTCGCTCAACGTGCCCTCAGAGTCGATTTTGTTGAGGTCAGACATGGTGGATTGCCAGAGACAAAAGCGAGAGCAGCAAGTTTTGAGTGGGTTGGGAGGGTAGGGGGGCGGAGGGTATAGGGAAGCAAAAAAGCGACACCGCACCTCACTTGTGGCGGTTGGATGCCTTAAAGGTCTCGTACTGCAGGTAAGCGGTACACGGCAAGGATTACGCTGTGAAGCGCGAAAAATTTATAGAAAAAAATTAACAACACAATGGCCGCCCCGACATCTGATTCAACAATCGAGGGGGGGGCACCAATTTGGGGGACAGAAACAATACTCGAGGGAAGTAATAGATAAGCACCCAGAGAATAAGCTTTACGTCAGATGGGTTAGAATGACGGTGATAAGGATAACAAAGGACTTATAGTGTATAGAGTGTACTGATTCACGCTGGCTGAGCCTCCCCCAGACGACGGGGCAGCTCGCTTGGTGGGGCTCATGCCACAGACGCGTGGCGCGTTCCCAGATGGGCAGCGCTGCACTCCCTTTTGGTGGGTGAAAGGCAGCGAGAGTAAAAAATGAAACAGCGAGACCAAAAAAATACTAGCTAGCTTTGAAAGGGAAAAAGTAGTGCAGTTACACAATGCCCGTTAAATTGGCTTTTTCCCCTTAGCCCTAGATTCCTGATTTTGCGGCCTCCCCCCTACTTTCACTTCCTTCGCTACCGTCGATATCCTGGTAAATCCGCACCGGTGGTGTTTTCTCCGGTTAACTTACGGCGGGTAAACAAGGTTGGTNTTTTTTTTTTTTTTTTTTTTTTTTTTTTGTACACTTCGAGGGATGATAGGCAATTTTTAACAGAGGGAGTAAGTCACGTGATCTTGGGGTCGCCAAGCCGCACGCGAACACTCAAAGTCCGGTAGCGCCGCCGCCACCCATATTCACCCCAAATTAAATGCACGACTACCAGCTGCTTGTTGACCGCAAGCGCCAGGCGACCTCCGCCGACGACATCGGGGCCTTGCTTGACGAGATCGCCCAGATCCCCGCCGCCGAGGTCGCCTCGGGCGCCGTGCCCCGAGAACTCTTTGCCTGGCTGTTACGCGACGACGACACGCTATTGCTGTTGCTTATCGCTCAATTCTTCCGCAAGTGTCACTTGCCCACTGAAGAAAAAGTCCAGATTGCCTCTCAGCTCCGTACTGACGACGAATTGGTGGCAAACGAGCTCGTGGGGTTGTGGTGCGATTTGCTGTACGAAACCGATACCCTGGCGCACGTAGACTTTGCCAACCCCAATGTCGCGCGTCAGTTTAACCCGGACTTGGCGTGGAGCGTCAAGCCCGACGTGTTGGACGGGTTTCTGCTTTATGAACACTGGCCGGTGTTTCTCCACTTTGTGCGGCTGAACACCCACCCGGGCGGTAAATTTGACCAGGAAACGTTGGCTAAACTCCCGTTTGACAAGTACTTGGAGGCAGCCGAGGCGATGGCCCAGTTTCCCCCCGCAAAACTGCGGTTCTTATCGACCAACGCCGTGCTGCGGTTGCTTAACGCCGACGAATTGATCAACAGCGAGCTTTTCGGGGCTAAACACGCCGTGTTGGATGAGCTCTTAGCCTATCCTCGTCCCCCTGAGATTAAGCAATGGGAACAGGCGTTGGAAGAAGAAGCGGAAAAGATGAAAGGCGGCTACAAACGCCCCGACATCGACGTCGCCACCGAAACGTTGTAAGCTCTCATTTCATTCCATGATCCGCCCACTTCGGCCAGTTTCGGCTCTTCAGAAGCCGTGGTGATGAGATCGCTGCTCCAACCGAAATCCACCACAAAAGCCGTCTGGCTTTTGAATTCCCCTAACATTGCATTTCCCTACTATTTATTATGAAGACATGTTTACGAATCGCAGCCCCTCTCGTCGTTCTCTTACTCCTGTTAAATTGAATGCCTTGACCCAGATGTTGGTTTCTACCTCCCCCCCTTACACCAGGGACCACGCAAACACAGATTCACTTAGGCTCGAACCGACACCTGCCCCCTCGCATGCGTCCGGCAGCCGCAACGCTAACATAACCCGACATGCGTAGGCGAGCCTGTGCTTTTGCAAACGGCTTTGTGGCAGTATCCCTGGTAAGGCAACTCCCCTACCGCTTCCGGCTACCCTCGCAAGCAACTAAGAAAACAACAATGGAACCCGCTAGCAAATCAGGGTATATTTCTACCCCAATCCATCAGCCCCTAATGACAATAGAGAACTACTCAGTCAACCAGTAAACCCGTTTTGTTTGCGGTGGTGGGCGCCTGGCGACAGTCGTCCATAAGGCGGTTCGTCGCGGCGGGGACAAAAACAGGTTATGGGGTGCACCCGTGCATCGCCTCGTTTTTTTGGCGCTCAGAGACAGAGTCCCAGATACAGTCCCTAAAAGGGGGATATGGTGCCTCGTCTCCTCAGACTTTGGGACTGCACCTAAATCCATAGATCGTTTTCACCTTCGCTAATAAGGTTTGTAGGGGTAAATCCCCTTACTATAACTAGCGCGTGCCTGTGATCTGACAGTGAGAAATTATAATACCTACTGTTGGCTGTTATCGAGCGACCCCAGAATTCGCGTCTGAGCGCGACGTAACGGGAAAGCGCGCCGCCGTCGTCTCATTCCCGGCTGAGGTGTCGGCTAATACTCAAAAAATGTAGGCTGTCGTCTCGCGTGGTCAATTGAGGGATGCCGCTGGGTCTCGCTCCCTCCGTAAAAGCAGAGGGTGTGCTGCCTCGTTGTCCCACGACGCTGTCCTTTGCTTCCTCTTCGCCAAGCGCCCAAAGCGCCGCTGGCGCCGCTAATGGCGGCGACACCACCAGTCTCTGGCGCCGCCTCGAGCAGTTGGAACGGGTGGTGCTGGCTCAATCGGACGAGATCGCCATCCTCAAAAAGGCAGTGGCGCTGGCGCCGCTGACCACGGCGCCACTGGCAGTGCTGCTGCTGCTGACCCCCGTGTTGCTTCGGGCGCTGACGATGACACCCCAAACACTAGGCGCTGACGATGCCGATGTGATTCGCCTTCTAAAACACGATATCGACACCAAGCTCCGCCACACCCACTTGGACCCGCTGGAGCTTTCCCGCTACATTGACGCCCACACGACGCTGGCAATCCTCGACCAGGTAAAGACCTACTTCCCGCGGCTCGTCGTCGATGCGCCACCGCCGACGTTTGTGGCGCTGGAGTTCTTTGAGCTCCCCATTATCGACCAGCTGTTGGTGATCGAGACGTTTAACGACCCTGGCATCGGCGATAAGCTCGAGCTGATCCAGCAGTTGTTTCAAACGACCCAGGTTCCCTTCCACTATTGGGGGTTTTATGGCGTCACCTACCTCGGTGACTTGATCCGCCTGGGGCTAGAACCGCTGCCGCTGTGGCCTGAGTTTTTGGAATATTTGTTTCAATACCGCCAGTTCTACGAAGAGGACTTGCACCACATGCACGTGTGGCTCCATACCCGGCCAAAACGGGGCCAGCCAGTGCTCCAGTTTGTGTCGCGATATAAGCAGCGAGCGGCACACTATAAGGATTTCCCGGGTAAGTTTACCCTTGAAAGAGACCGGCTTGTGTTCTGGCTCAAACGGAGCTTCCCCGAACGAGTGGCAGCAGTGGAGTTCGAACAAGTGGTCCACCGCGACCCCTTCTACCATAGCGTCGTGCAAATGTTCTCCGCCAACGAAAGTTTTAATTGAGCTTACTACGTTTGCACAGATTGTACGGAGTTTGATAATGAAGGCCTGACCGAAGCAGATACTCATGCTTCGCGCTTCTAAAAGCTGCAGTCGCCGTTAGAGTGAGAGCTACTTAATGGATCAACAAAAGATGACTGGAGCCGGTGCAGAGATGGAATTGTGCTGCTTAAAATGACGTGTCATATCTCGTAGTTCGCATGCTTTATAGCGGTATAACTCATCACAATAATAAATCATTCATTCAATAGAATTGGAAACGACGCTAGTTTCTGCATCATCGCTTTCAGCATCGCTTTCAGCATCAGAGGCTTTCACCGGACTAGATGGCATTACAGGTTTATCATCGCTAACACTCGTCGACGCCGGCAGCGGTGGTACGAGCCAACCGCGAGGCACGATCACCAAGTGCGCCTGCAGAGCAGAGTTCCACGGATCGCTTAGCAGGGGTGAAGAAGCCCTCCGTGGGCTACTGGGTGGTGACGGTAGCTTGGCTGGTAACTCCTGGCTGGGTGTTTCCTCCTTTACTAATTCCTGGCTGGGTGTTTCCTCCTTTACTTTCACCTCATCTTCGGCTTCCAGTTCGCTTGTGTTCGCCTCTTCTTCATCTTCGGCATCAGAGGCGTTCTCACTATTTGGATTCTCTACATTTTTCACATAGATGATTTTCAATAACGTCACGAGCCGAGTGAACAGCGCCCTCAATTCCTCAAGTCGTTTCAAGCTGGTGTACCGCAACGGCCGCGAGATATCGGTGTCGAAGTTCGCCTTATCGTTATAAGGGGCAATCCCGAGAAACCGCACGTAGGGGTACAAGTCGCTGGCACGGCGGATCACCGGTTTGCTCAATAGGCATATACGATGACGAGCTCGCAACACCGCCACTGCCTGCAGCTGGAGTGTCGTCATCTTGTAGATTTGCTGACCATCGTCAACAATGATGCGATGGTACACCTTGCGAGGGCCAAATAACGGCAGCCGGTAGGGCTTTTCTTTGGATCCCGGCATGCCATCTGACGGGTCGGTGGCGGCAAAGTGTTGCTGGTAGTCCAGCACGAGGATGCCGTACAGAGTGATGACAACATCATGCTTCGAGAGCGCTGAGAACAGTGTGTGTCTGTGAGTACCCTGATACACCTTGACGTCGAAATCGTCCTCCAGATAGCAGCTCCGTTCAAAATGACACTCCCATTGAGGGATTTTGGACAACGAGGTGATGATGAGTGTAGTGCCACAAGCGTCGTCATCGTTAGGCCGGTGGTGAGCGATCAACGCCGCCATTTGCAGGGCCGTGCTGTAATTGGCATCGTGGTAGAAAATACCACCCGACACCAACGACGATTCTCGTTTCATGATTGCCGCCAACCCGTCCTGTTCCCATTCCTCTAAGTCCTCCACATACTTAATCGCGGGGAACCCTCTGGGGAGATCTTCATTTTCCACACTTTGAGACAACTTAACGAGGTCGTCATCAATTGCCATAGGCGATATCATCTTCATCATGTCAGACCCTTGGGAGGTTGCCAACGCTGTGCTGAGAATCTTATTCTGCTTCGTTGTTGCTACAGTTGTCACCAGATCACGGTCTGATGAAGGAGAAGAGTCAATTCCAAGGCGACTAAGCAGGCCTGCAAGCAGCTTGATGTCGCTCGCATAGTCGTTGTCGGTGGTTTCCGTCTTGATCAAGTTTGGCTCTGTTTGGCTCACTGTGGTCATCTTTGGCTTATCTTTGGCTTGGAGCGCCAGCCCCTGTGTTTTGGTCAAGCGTGCACAAAAGGCAGTGACGGGGTGCGAGTCATTGCTGTGGCTAATGAGGCAGCTACCAGAGAGATTGAGTGATGATATAGCATTCAGATCCCTAAGCCTCAATTAATGATGAAGATTAAAAAACAACACTAGCCTCGCTTTCAGGATTTTTATAATCGCACTCCTTCAGTAATTACTTTGGCAAACACTAGCGATCGGAGTGAAATGACTCTCAAAAACCTCTACGTAATGAAGCAAATGTTCGATATATATTTGAGATGTCCCAGTCTTGGGTCTATATACAGGTTGAGCCTCGAGATCATCATGAAATCACTTGGTACCACCACCACCATCGCCTCCATTAGTAGCAGCACTACTACTACTCGTAGTAGTTGCACTACTTGTAGTAGCATCATCCTTCTTAAACTTCATTTCCTCCGTCTTCTCCCCAGGCAAGTTGGTGAGCCCCAACGTGTCCCACTCACTCTTCTCCATCAACTGGTGGTCCATGCGACACTTGAGGTACTGCTTGGCCAAGATGCGGCAGTTGGGGGCGTTGCGGTTCTCGGTGAACTTCATACACTTGAGGTAGCTGTTCATATACTCGGTGCATTCGCCTAGATGGTCCAAAGGGAATGACCCTCTTTCAGGAGGTGTGGGAGTCCAGCCTCTGAAATTTCCGCCTATACCGTTAGTACCAACAACAACCAAATCGATAATTAGAAAAATTATCACGTACCGGGAGAGCCACTAGCCATATTTGGGGTATGAAGATAAAGTGGTGTCAAGTCAAAACCCGTAGGTGCGTATAGTTCCGCTAACGTGCGATCCTGCAGAGAGCCACACAGATCAACCCACCCCAGTAACAACAATATCACCAATAATGACGATTTTTGCTACTTTAAATCATGAAAAATAGGTTTGTCGTGAATTTATTAGTGTTTCAATATTTCTGGTTAACCAAGTTACAACTGGTTAGCTGTCTCAATGACTCATTGCTTCTCATTCAATCAGTGGCACCAAACCCCGGGTGATCACCATCAATTTTTCACCTTCAAACTCTCTCCTCTTACTTCTCACTACTCACTTCACTCTCAAAAACCTTCCATATGCCATTACCTCTCCCTAGTTGTCCCTCTCTGTGCTGGTGATCCCTGACTCTGACCAGTGCGAGTCATGTGCCAGCACCCAATACACCACTGCCACCGTCCCAGGTTCCCCACACCATGAAGGACTACCGCGGCGCCACCATCGAGGACTTGGACATCAAGCCGGCGATCTCAGTCAACCCGCAGACCACCATCCTCCAGGCGCTCGAGACCGCCTACGAGGGCGAGTTCACCTTCCTCCCCGTCATCCACGAAGCCAATAAGAAGTTGCTTGGAGTGCTTAATGTCGACGAAGTCGAACCGAAAAAGGGCGAGTTGGTCAAGAACCACATGATGTGGTTTAGCCAGGCGGCTAAACGGGCCTACGAACAGCAGCAACAGCCTCAAGCGAAAACGCCCCGCAACACGAAGATCATCACCCCGCAACCGCTGTCGAAAACGTATACCGTTTTAACTCCGGGGACTCCCTTGGAGGAGCTCGACGCCTTCTTCGCCCAGGGTAACCCCTTCGCCATCATCACTGAGGCTGGGGGTAAGTTTGTCTACGGGGTGGCCACCTTGGAGGACTTGCAACTATACGAGAAGAGCCGGCCGCTTCTCGGCAAGTTGTGAGACGACAGCTTTGTCACTTATTCCTATTAAATAGACCTGCTAACGACGTAAATAGACTGATGCTATAGACTAACGTAAACCACTTTAGAACACCACTAATTTGGTAAAATCTGTGGAGAAGGGAAGTAGATGACTTTTACACACGTACGGAATGCTTATTCGTCCAGGTTGCTGCCACTGTCAGCCAGGTCGTCGTCAAACAGGTCGTCAGACGAACCAGCAGTCGACTTACAAACATTGTCGCAGGCTCATCAAAATAAACCACTTACAGCACATACTGTCAATTACATGGTTAGCGAAATCAACCTCATGGTAATTTCAGTCAAAAATATGGGAAAGGTATGCGAGGGCGAATAGGGAGAAAACCTGATTTCACCAAATGTCAAAATGGAAGAGCAAACCCTGCGTACCTTTATGCTTCCTTGTAAATTAAGCAGATCGTTAAACCCTTTTACGTAACTGACGCTGGAGCTCTTCCCGGAGTCTGAGTTTTGACTGGCATCACCCATCAATACCTCCCAGTTGTTCGCTCGTTTTCAGAGTTCCCAAGTGTCATTAGGTCGTGATCTTACTCAACCAGGCCAACACGCGCTGAGAGGTGGGCATGTGAATCCAGGTGTCAAGAGTGCCGTAAGCACACGTCTCGCTGATGAACCAGCCGATGTGAACCCCCTTCGGATCGATGAGAACGTTATCTGGGTGCTCCTTGGCGTAGGTGCCAATGAACTCAGCAATCTCATCAAACAACACTTCATACTCTCCACAGATGAAATACACGTTCCCGTCGACAAACGGGGGGTACTTCTTCAAGTACGGTGCGTGGGTAAGATTAAGCAACTCGTCGTCGGCGCCGTTGGCGTAGTAAGCACCGAAATAATCGATCATGTCGTAAGAGAATACGTCCTTCCCCAAGTGGGCCAGCGACCTGATCAGTTTATCCGTCGTGTTGAGCCACGGACTGATCGCCACCACCGCCCGGGGCCACTTAAGCTTATGCTGGTCAATATAGTGCAAAAGCATCAACGATAAGTTGCCTCCGGCGGAGTCGCCCATGACCACAATGTTTTGGTAGCCATCCTTGAGCAATTGGCGGTACACGGCGCCCACCTGGTCGCCCTGGGTGGGGAAGGTAACGTGTTCACTAGTGAGGCCGTAGTCGGCCACCACCACCGAGATGTGGCGATTGTAAAGCTTCGCCATGGCTAAATGAAGGTTAGCCATCGCCTCGACAGCACTGTCTTGGAGCTGGAGGGCAAAACAGCCGCCGTGGAGATAGAGCACCGCCAACTCCGATTGGGGGCCCTGGGCGAGCCAGGTGGCGTTTGTCGAACAAGGGAACATCTGGCCGATACCTGGAAGCGACCATTTAGGAGCTAATCGGCGGATTATTGTCTGGACTGACTCTCGGGGCCGCGCCACCGTCATATTTAACCCCGGGCCCATGTGTTGGAAAATGCCGCAATTGAGCGTCCGCCAAAGCGACTTTCGGGTGATTTCATTGTCGAAACAGGTCCCCGTGGTGTAGTATTGGATGGTGAGCCACGCTAGTTTCAAGGGGAGCAGCGCTAGCCGAATAAGGAACTTAATCATGTTTGTGTGGGGTAAGGGTTGGTCCACCAGGCAATAAAGTGCGAAACTGGCAATAGAAGGATGAAATTGAATTTTGAGGGTAATGCCATGTCTCCACGGACCTGGGGTTTGAAATGCTGAATCATGATAAGCTAATTTAGTAGGAAAGCTGAAAAAACGAAATTTTCGATTTTTGACTACAATTGTTCATAGTGAGGTCAAAATCATGACAAGTGACAAACCATTGAATTTAGGGATATTAGTTGAGTCTATGGCCATAACTAATTCAATCCATTCAAATTTCGATATCATCACACAACAATCATCACCATTTTCATAATGTCCATCATCACCGCTAATTTAGTTGCATGGTGGCCTCCATCTCCTCTCTGTAATCTAAGTCTCCGGCTATTGGCTTCCACTTTCTCTTACTCTACATCATCAGGTACCTAGTGCTACGTCCCCCACAACTCTACATTTCTGGTCTAGTTTTGCCAGTTTGCATTACTATAGGGCGATCTTGGCTTGCACCCACAGATAGTCCTTTGGCATCCCTCTAATGATTCTTTCGCACCCAAGTAAATCTTTCGCACCCTCCTATGAAACTTTCGCACCTCACCAGTAAAATGTTCGCACCTCACCAGTAAAATGTTCGCACCTCACCAGTAAAATGTTCGCACCTCACCAGTAAAATGTTTGCACCCTGCTAATCATTTCTCGCTGGCCTTTCGCAGACCACCAAACAGTTTGCTCACTACGAAGAATCACGCCTAGCAACTAAGGTAAAAATCTGTAGCCAGTGCTCAACCAATTTGTAGCAGTATATGTTGTATTGGTGGCACTTGGTAAGTATTTTCAAAACAACTACTTGAGACTAGCAAGTATAGTGTGATCGTAGAGGTCGGCGTCTATGTGGGTATTTATTAAAATCGTCTCACACGTATCAACAGTCACACCATGAGTTCCAATTTTTTGCGGAGCACCGCCAACCGGTTGCCGATCAGCACGATGAACTTCTCGACCATCTGGCGGTCGTGGGTGTCGAGCTTGGCCTCGTCGTCGCCCTCGTCGTCGAGCAACGCCTCGAGCATCCAGATTGCCGTCAGGTACGCCAACTCGCACCCTTTGAGGTCCTCTTTGACCAACTCGTTGATGGCGGCGTTGCGCAGCATCTCGAGGCCACGCTCAAAGATGAGCTTCAGAGCGATGATCGGCGCTGCCTGCAGCGCCGTCGCCAGCGGCGGCGCGTGCTCGCTATCGCTGCTGCCGCTGTCATGGCTGGCGTCCTCGAGGCGCAACCGGAGGTACTCCGCCCGCTCGAGCGCCTCGTTGAACCGGTCGCGCACCCACTGGACCAACTCGTTGATGGCGCCGGTGTTCTGGGTGACGCCGGCGTGCATCCCTTCGTGGTACCACCACTCCAGCGCCACTTCCATCGCCCGCGCGAGCAACAGCAACGTCTTCACGTAGAGGGCGACGCCTTCCTCCAGGATCTGCACCACCATCTTCAGCGGGAGCGCCAACGTGTCGGCGGCGCCGTCGCCGTCGTCGTTGTCGTCAGGGCGCATCGGCACCAATTGGCTGAACTTAACGTCGGCGAAAAGGATGATAGCGTGGGCTTTGGTGGCAAGCAGCTCGAGTCGCTGGAGCACCTCGGCGTCGCCCAGTACTGCTGCCGTCAGCGCCAGCATCAGCAGCGCCGGCGCCCGGGCCAGCGGCGGCAATACTGGCGGCCGGGCCATGTGCTGCGCCACCACTGCCGGTGGGGCGCTGATCACGGTGGAGAAGGTGGCGCCGGTGTGTTCGGCGATGGCCTCGGGGAGGTCGTCGTCGGCCTTGGTGCCGAACAACCGATGCAGGGCGAGCCCGATCGCCTTCAGCAACGCGCTCAGCGGCGAGAGCGAGATCATGCGGCGGTCAAACAGCGGCCGCCGCCGGTTGACGATCTGGAGCGCCGGGTGAGCGCCACCGCCCTGGTCGCCGCTGGCGCGGCGGTCGTTGGTGATGGCGTCGGCAACAGCGTTGACTTCAACGGCGCGCTTCTCCACCACCACGTAGTCGGCCATGGCGTCGGGCGCCGGCAGCAGCATCGCCGGGGCGAGCGGTGGCGCCGGTGCCAGATCGGCGAGAGCCAGCGCCGTGGCGGCCTTGACGGCACCCGCCTCCGCCGGGTCCTGCGGCTGCGGCGACAGCTTGTCAATCAACTGCATGATCCGCGCCTCGTCCAGCGGCTGGTTGTCGGCGAACTTCGACTCGATCATCGCATGTGGGTGTGCCTGACGCTCCAGTTGCGGCAACGGCAGGATGTACTCCAGGATGTAGAGGTTTTCGTCCATTTCCGGCGCGAGCGGGGTGTTGTTACCTTCGAGCTTGGTGGTGACCAACTCGTCGGCGAAGAACTCGGCAAACAGGATGCGCTCGGTGGCGTTGTAGCGGAGCAACAGCCGGATGAGCCGTTTGAGCGGCTCCGGCACTTCTTGAGTGGTGGGCAGGGGGAACTTTATGCGGTCCTGGGCGCGCTCGATCGTCTTGAGCAACTCGATGTGGTTCAGCGCCTTAAACGGGGGGCGCCCGCAGCTCATTTCGTAGAGGACGGCGCCCACCAGCCACAAGTCGGCCTTGGCGTTGTACTTTTCGTAGCGCAAGATCTCCGGCGCCATGTAGAGGGGCAGCCCGCAAAGAGTCTCGGCAAGCAGCGTCAGCGGAAGCACGCGGGCGAAGCCAAAGTCGGCGATTTTGAGGATGGGGAGTTCCCAGAGCCCCGCGTAGCCGGCGGCGGCGAACAGCTCCTGGGAATGGGCTGGGGGGCACAAGAGGAGGTTTTGCGGCTTGATGTCGCGGTGGACCAACAGCTTCTCCCTCAAGAACTCGAGCGCCAGCGCTAACTGTTGGAGGAAGTGGATGACGACCGTGGTGTTGAGTCCGGGGCCCAGCGCCGGCGCCAGCGGGTAGCGCTGAAGCAACAGCGCGATCACCGGGTGCGACTTGACGAGAAGGTGGCGCTTGCGGATAAAGTACAGCAAGTCGCCCATCAGGCAGTAGTCCATCACCAAGTGGAAGTGCAGCGCCGTCTGGTAGTAGTCCAAGAGCATGACGATGTGCGGGTGGCGCATCGTTTTAAGGATGGAGATCTCCACCTCCAAGTTCTCCACCAACTTGCGCAGCTTAAGCTTCGACCGCACGATCAGCTTGATCGCCACCGCCTGGTGGGTGCGGTTGTCCAAGCACTTGTACACGGTGGCAAAGCTGCCCTTGCCGATCTCGGCGCCGATGGTGTAGGCGCCAATGGTATCTTTAGACATGACAAATAATTGGTATTAATGGAATGAACAGCGATGGTATATTTCCGTAATAGTCACTCGGTTATGTTTGAGGCTTTGTTTGGTATTTTCCTTTGAATGTTTTGGGTCTGTTTGTAGTTTTCTTTGGTGGTTGTTTTCTGGTTTAGGGGTGGTAAGGGGGGAGGAGGGTGTGTGTGTGTGTGGGGATTGGGAAGACGGGCGGGGAGGCTAGCGGCGTGGCCAGAGCCCGTAAAACAAAACACGCGTTTCACACGTACAGAGCAGGCAAGTGAGTCGTTGTCAAACGGCTATAGAGAGCCAGATAACTCGTGGGGAAGTGGGGGTGGGAAGGGTAGTGCCACAGCAGTTGCCACTGAGAGAGCTTTAGTAGGGAGCGTCATCCTTAGTGCGCGCGCCCCCCAGGGGAGGTCACGTGAGCGAGCGCCCGATCAAGGATCAGGGATTTCCTTTGGGACAAATAAAGGAGACCCCGGCGAGACCCCCCACCTCCCCCACCTTTGGTATTTGTTAGCATAGCAAGGGAGAGAGACAGTGGCATAGAATAAATAGACTACGAGAAGGATTATCGGAGGAGTATTTGAGCAGTTAATATCAATGATTGATTGGTAGTTGTCGGAGTAGTTATGATCCTGGTGCCACGTGCGCTGCCGCGATTGGCGGTACGGTGTCACTGCTCGGGTTGTGGTGGTTACTCTTGTATACTCGCACTTGGTACGGTGGGGGTGGTGTGCTATGGAAACGGTGGTGGAGACGCCACAGTTCACAGTGATACGATTACAGTGTGGTTTACGCTAATTCCAAAGAAGCCATGGTTGGGTATCATTTAAGCAAATCCGTGATCGGGTGATTATCCGATTTTGTGGCGTTACGTGGTACGGTACTACGGAGTAGAGGTTATCTAAGGTTTCAAATAAGAAAGCATTGATCACGAAGTTCATTTATCCCGGAGCGCTCGTCCTTTTATCCGCACTGCCTATCTGATTCGTATTTATATGGCATTGGTTCTCCCGAAAGATTGTTATCGGTTTTATCAATGAGATAAGTAGTAGATACAGAGGGACGAAGATACGCATGAATCTCGAGAAATCCAGGGCTACAAAGACATTTAAAACGTCAAAAGCTTCTATTGGAAAAGATCTATAAACTGTACAATACAACTAGCTAAGCTAATATCCCCTATATCGGCTGATCACTGGTCGCACCGGCCGCGCTATAATTAGTATAGTGCGATCTTCGCACTGCTTGTGCTATAGCTGCGCCGCGATTAATACCGTGCGATTATTTGACAGCGGTTAATCGCGGCGACTAACAAGCTACACCTAATTGACTGCGATCAATATACTAGGAGTTCCAACGATAAGCCGACAAACGGGCAAAGGGAACATGAAGGCAAACGTAAATGATAATGTAGTTGAAAGAGTATGAGTGACAGACACTTTAGTAGTTGCTATAACAAGGCTTATACCGTGGTCGCACTATTCGCTGGCTAGCTAGACCGGGGTCGCACTTTGCTAGCGACAACGGAGCCAATGACAGCGGCGGCGATGCTGCTGACACTGTGCGACCGTGCGATACCTCCGATAACAACAATGAAATCAGCAAACTAACAAAAGACTAACAAAAGAATCTCACAGTATTGACGGCTAAAACATAGAGTAGTATCAGGGTTGACAGCCTCAACACGATTTGCTTAACCCGACATAGTCCGTAGCTCATCGCGTCCCGGATACCGCCGATGATCGTACTGTACCGATCCCGCACACTGAGACGCCCGACCTCGCGTCCGACGCAGCCAATGAGACCGCCGTCAGTGTCAGCAACACCCGCCCTGCGGGGCGCCGGGTGCCGCCACCTCGGCCGCCACGCCCGCAATATAAATGTCCCCCAGGTGTCACCCACCCGTCAAACTCCAAAATATCATGGCCGACTTGCGTACACTTCTCGCCGAGCTCGAAACGCCTCTCGACGAGGCCCGCGCCACCCAACTTATCCCAGTCATCCACCAGTGCCTCGGCGGCGCCGTCACCCTGAGAGACATCAACACGTTGATGTACTTGTTGCGGTTTCTGCCCGCCACCCGGGAGGTGGTGCTCCAGGACTTTGAAGCCAACGGCATCAATCTTGACATCGACTACATCCAGCTGGTTTTGGCGACGGCGGTGAACCCGGTGCCGATGATCACCGTTTGATCGCCATCTGATAATGATGAAGGATATGATGACGTCACTGGCGCCCTGGTGTCGCCGGCGACGGGCTAAGGTTTTTATAGAAATACGGTTAATAGGTAAGGAGACGGTAATGAATAACGAGTACCCGCTAAGACCCTAGCATCATACCCTAAAAGTGGGGCGATGTTGTGCCGCACACGACCCCGCGGCTGACCCCCCGTGTCTCGTCTGCTTTGGTCTCGCAAAAACTGACGCGGGGCTATTGCCGTCATCGGTAATCGATGCCACCGTGTAAGGCAACCAACCACTCCCTAAAATGGATTTTGTGGAGGGCAAACGTTAAGCGTCTGTTTAGTTTTTGATGTTATTCCTTTGAGTCTAGTCCCAAGGCCCGTCCCACCAGTAGTTGATGATGCTGCAATAAGCCACAGCAAATTGAGACAAAATCGAAATCAGTAAAGCTGACAATAGTAATCGCGGTTGCTGTAATAGTCATATCCTCTTTGGTGTTGGTGCCAAGCTACGGTGCCGAGTACAGACCATCGCCTGGCTTTACCATCAGCAACACGTGGTGCCATATAGGTCTCTAGACAAAGAACTATCACACTAATCCAAACCCCTAACCAATCTAGAAGCAATCATAAACCTAATTAGTACAAATCTAAAAAGTTTCAAACTCTAACTCCTTTCGTCTGTAGATCTTTTCGTGTACTTGGTCTGCACTTACGCATTACCGAGTAGTCACCACCACGCAAGCCCCTGCCGCGATGGTTTGCCCCGTCTACGCTTATATACGGCGCCAGTGCCACCGAAGATGGATCTGTAGAATTAAAGTTACCAGATGTGGCTCACGTTCGTGGCGTTGGCCGTGGCTAGCGCCGCGCCCATAGCTCAGCTGATATTGCTGGAACTGCCAGCTATCCACTTGATCGGTAAACTATCAGAGGTGACGGCACCTCAATTGGTGGTGGTACCACCAACGTTCACAGACAAATTGCCTGAGGTCGACCCCGAGCTGTATGTGGTGAGATATATCGGCACCCACTCCGGGTTCGGGCCATCGTTACCCCAGCTACCCATCGACTTGAGGCACACGTTGACCCGCGTGACCTCTAGCCAGCACTACCAGGCAAATATCAAGCCTCAGATCACTGAAAAGTATCCTGATTACTCACTATCCCGCCTGATTGAGGCTAATTCATATGATGAGCATTGGCGGCTCCGACCGGTATCAATGGAGTGGGACGCCGCCTACGGCGTGTATATGGTACGGAGCACCTTATACTTCGAAGACGTAGTCAGTTTGGACGTGGTTCACGTCTACGACGACTCGGGACGCCGGCGAGACGACCTTGACTTGGTGGTCCTGGTCGAGAACAAGTACCGTGTGGTTCGATTCCCCAGCGTGGTGACTTTTTAAATAGGCATTTTACGTAGGAAATGAAAAGTTAATAGGCTATCGTTACTCATTACGTAGTTTCAGATGACTGCTGAAGGCACTAACCGGTAATGCATCATGACCATTATGGATGTTACCGCGATGAAGGCTTCCACAATTGCAAAATGTCGGGGCGGCACCATAATGTAGGCCCTTCTTGCGGTGGGGTGACAACTTCACCGGCTTCGTACCTCTGCACCAAAGCACTTTTGGCGTACTCAATGTACTCGAGTTTTGCGGTATCCCCAAAGTGAATCAAGGCTGGGTCGCTAACATCAAGAATCCGTAATTTTTCCACATTTTTGGGTGGGTTCTTCAGAAGAATAAGGTGAATAGAGTGCAATTTTAGTAGGGCAAATCTGCAAATCTGTGAACACGAATCCAGTTACAACCTTCCAGTCGTGACTACCTCAGCGATGAGCTTTGTTGTTCATGAGCGCAGCCACTCGTGTGCTTTAAGTGATGTGCTGGATATAAAGATCAGAAGAAAATAACCAAAAGCAATTGCAATCGAAAACAGAACTGATAAGATACGGGAGAGTTTGGAATACTGTTGGGTGGTGTTATCACATGAGAGGAAGAGCTGTCGGCTTAAAGAAGAGCTGGTGTTATCTGGATCAGTCTACTGGTTACGGGATGTTAGCGTGAAAGATGGAACTGAAAGGGCACGGTGAAAAAAGCCCAATCGGTTGAGTAAGGCGCTATCTATCTAGTTTGCGCCAAAATAGGAACCAGTCACAGGAGCGAAAGCTGGCACCAGAGTGTTGGCAAACCTACATGCCCCCCACGAGGGGGGACACTCCGATTCGATGTTTATTAATAATATACAACCCCTCAATTTTTTAATTGCACCCAGCTGCTTATTCCTCAGGGACGACGAGCGAGCCGTCTCTGATCATGTCGATGGCGACGTGGGCGGGCTTGCCGTCGACCTTGGCGCCCACCGACTGGGTGGTACCCAAGATCTCGAGGACGGTACCTTCCAACAGCTTGGCGAAGGACTTTTCCTTCATTTGGCGGGCGATGTTGACGATTTCATCGAAGGGGATCGAGCCGTTGTGCTTGACGTTCTTGTCCTTCTTACGGTCTCTAGGAGGTTCCTTCAACGCGGCGATCACCAACGACGACGCGGCGGGAACCACCGAGGCGGTGGCCTGTCTGTTTTGGATTCTCAATTGGACGGTGACCTTGATCCCGGGCATGGCCTTGGTGGCCTTGGCGATGTCTTCACCGACCTTCTTGGGCGAAAGACCAAGAGGACCGATCTTAGGGGCCAACGCAGCCGACGAACCGACTTCACCACCAACGGCTCTGAGGTAGATGAACTTCACTTCATTAGGGTCAAACTTGGGAGGCATAGTGACTGGTTATGGGGAGGCAAGGGAAGCGGTGAAAATTTCTCAAAGGTGAGAATTGGGAGTGCACGCGGTGGGCGCGGGAGTGTACACAAGCAGATTCATCGCTCCCTAACAAATGTGCGAGGATAGTGGTCACGTGAATTAGGGCTCTCGCCCTAACACCTAGGGTTGAATTAGATTACAGAATCCTAGTGCCAACATCGGCCTAAAACTGGTCAGAGATTATTCACTAACGTATCGCTTGTATATCATATTAATTTGACAGCTTTTCCTGTTACATTTCTTGATATTTGCTAGTCTACGCTACAATGAGACTTTAACAAATAAAGTGTTCTGACCATCGGCAATAGAACGTGGGAAAGCTATCACCAATGCATTCATCGAGTAGTTTTACTTGAAACATAAGTTATCGTAATCGTTTCCTATTAATCTCTAATTTTATATCATGTTCAAAATGCCAACTGGTGGTCAAACCTTAAGATAGTCAGACAATGACAAACTATGGCTAACTAGTACGATGATTGACGATTTCACTCAACTGTAAAGAGAAAACTAAGAGTGTATTGTTTGAACATCGATGAATTCAGCTTCAAGAATATCGCGATCGGGTTTCTATTCTCATCAGCGAGAGCTGTAGTTACCTGTCAAAGCGGCCGACACTTCAGTGCAACCAGAACTCAAAAGCTTGTTTCCTGACAATTGGTAGGGTCATTCCTAAAATGTTTATCAGTAGCGACCACAATATAATTTGAGGGACCCAAAATCGAAGTTACTCAATTGCCACACCGAGAGTAATATTTTGTACAGTAATCACCATAGGTCAGCAGCATCAGACACGTTCAATTAGTGGTCACTGGTTAAGCTCTGGGGGTGAGTGGACACCACGTTAAACCGATGTAACGATTAAACTTTTGAGTGATCAGAAAGCTTATACTCACCCCAAATAAAACGTGAAAGCTCTCCTTTAACCAATGGCTCCGTAAATGTGATGCTGTCTCGTTACCATCAACGGAAACGGGCAATTGCCAGAACTCGTGACATGTTGGAAAGTGGCCACACCGCCCAGGACTTGATTGACTTACTAGCTTGTGAACAAGCACAACAGGAACCAATTCCGTCTAACGAATCTGAGACGACTGAAGCGCTTGAAAATGAATCCACAAACGATAGCCCTGAGCCTGAGCCCATGCCTAAGCCCAAGCCTAAGCCCAGGTCGACGGTGGTGTCTCGAGGAAAACGGTGTCCCAGGTGCGGAGTACTCTCCAGAGAGTGGCGAAAGCACGTAAAGAGATGCCACCGCCCCAAGCGGTATGTGTGTAACTTCTGGGTGCTTGAGAAGTGTTCCCCTTCCGGCGGAGTGTTCCGCGACGCCACCAGCCTTAGACGCCATTTGCTCAACCGCCATTTTAAGTTTGACAACGGTGAGATCAACTGGCGGATAAGCCTTGGCGATAAGGCTAATTTTCTGGGGACGTGTGAGTGTGGGTTTCAATCCACTGCTCGAGAATGGCTCGACCACCACGTGCTCATTGGCAGCAGCCTGCGGTGCCAATTATCTGGCGACGAACACCTCCCGTAAAAGACAGAGAAGTAACCAAAATGTAATCAACAGGATTATGCAGCATCAATCAGATAAATAGTATCACGAATACTCCAATTGATCTCGTGTAGTGTTGATAAGACGTTGGCGTATTAGCTTTTGCTAACGGTATCATCAGCAAGCAGATCATGGACAGTGGACACCGCAAACACCTTCAACGTAACAGATATATCACTCAACGCTTCCTTGAGTGCTTTAGACAATGTATGACGTTCATTGAAGAGCACGACACCACCGCAATCGCTGTGTCATCGAATCAGACCACCCTCTTCTCATCGAGAATCTTCAGCAATGGCGAATGGTGTGGATGTATTGAGGAGGTCATCGACTCAGCATAAGAAACCGGTTGTGTTCATTGGGTCATTCAGCTGTTCATTGGGTCATTCAGCTGTTCATCGGGTCATTCAGCTGTTCATTAAGGGACTGGGAGTGATATCAGTCTCGCTGTTGATATGATCCGAGTGTATGTCCAGGGCTACATAACCACGACAACACTACCTACTAACATATTGCCATTAAAAAATGAAAAATTGAAAAACTTTTAGTAAACTTTCATTCAATAAATAAACGATAAATATCCTAGTGGTCAATGAACCCCTTTTCCTCGGCGATGATGCGCAACGCCAACATCTTCAGATAGAATCTCAGCAACGCCAAGTTGCCCCCCATGTACCAGAAGTTGGGGTGGCCCAGGTCGCGCCACATCGTGTTCAAGTCGCCTTCGTCGTTCAACCCCCACACCGGGTTCAAGCGGTCGGCGACTTTATCGCCAAAGATGCGGCGGGCGGTGTCTCGCATGTTGGAGTAGCCGGTGGCCAACACCACGCAGGCGACGTTGTCCATCGTCGACCCGTCGGTGAAGACGACGCCGTTTTCGGTGAAACGATCGATTTCCACCCCCTGCTTCCAGTTGATCTTCTTGTCGGCAATCAACTTCGAGCACCCGACGTCGATGTAGTAGCCGCCACCACGTCTAAAGTACTTGCCGAAGAGCCCGGTGCCGCCGTAGCCGGCGTCCATCTTGAAGCCCACACGCTTGAGCGAGTCGTGCAACTCCTTCTCGGCGATGCACGTCTGGCGGTACTGCTGCTGCATCACCATGTTCAACAATTTGAGCGGGATCAGCTGGAAGATCAAGTCGGCGGTTGCCGTAGGGGGCCCGCCTTCTTCGTAGAGGCCGGCGGTGGTGATCTTGAGCCCGATCTCCGAGTTGATCACACACGTCAGCGACCGCTGCAACAACGTGGGGATGGCGCCCTGCTCGTAGAAGTCCTGGGCGATGTCGTGGGCGGAGTTGCAGGCACCAACAACGAGACAGTTTTCCCCCTGGTACGCCTTACCGGTGGTGTGCTGCGACGAGTGGTGGATCTCGCCTTTGAACTTGTCCTGGTCCTTAAACTGGGGGACGTTGGGTTCACCCGAGTGGCCCGTCAGCATGACGACGTGCTTGGGGTTGAGGGTAGTGGTGTCGCCGGTGGCCAAGTTCTTCACCTGGACCGTCCACGTCTTGGTGGCGTCGTCAAACTCGGCTCCCGTCACGAGGCGCTGGGTCCAGTACAGCAACTCCATCAGCTGGGCGTAGCTCTCGAACCAGTCGCCGAGCTTGTCCTTCGGGGTGAACACGGGCCAGGTGTCGGGGAAGTTGATGTACGCCAAGTGGTCGTACCACACGGGGTCGTGCAACACCAAGAACTTGTACCGGTTGCGCCAGTTGTCGCCGATCCGGTCGTTCTTCTCGACGATGAGCGAGTCCACCCCCATCACTTTGAGGCGGGCGGCGGTATTCAAACCACCCTGGCCGCCACCAACGATAAGCACCGTCGGCTGCTTGTCCTGGCCCCATTCGAAGTCGGCTTCGCGGTTCTCCTTCCACAGGGTGCGCCCTTCGTGCTGGCCGTGGTTGACACCCTCGCCGCGGCGAGCGCCAAGGCGTTCTTCGTGGCCCTTAATCTGGTCCAAACCAGTGTAGATACAGTAGGCCTTGAGCCCGCCGGGAGCCTGGTCGTCGCTGACGGAGATCAACCGCAAAAGCGCCTTGCCGTACCCCTGGTCGGTCTCAAAGTCACACACCACCTGCACCCATTCAATGGGGGGAGTGCTGCCACTAGCGGGGTGGACCGTCTGCACCGACACCGAGTTCGGGTAGCGCGGGTCGGCCTTGGTGTCGATGGTAAACTTGCGGGGGTGCACTTTCGGGGCGGTCTCGGTGAGCACCTTGGCAATCTTGTCGCGGGAGTCGTATTGGTGGAAGTCGAACGTCAACGCCAACTGGTCCTTCAACTGGGCGTGGGCGGCGACCAAGTGGTCCCACTGGGGCTTGCGGTTGCTGTCGGCGGCGTTCAACGCCTCGAGCTCAGCGTTCCACGCGTCCACCCACTGGCCAGCAAGGGCGAACACATCGGTGTCCTTGATCGCGTCCGGGTTGGCCTCTTCGGCGCCGTAGACGTACTCGGGGGCGATATCCTCGTCGACGGCGTCCTCGACCAACGGCGGGTTCACTTCCTGCGCCATGGCAACGGTCGCTTTAACGGGCAACGGCATCCCCGGCTTGGCAGGCTGAGCAGTAGTAGACACAGCTTGAGCTTGAGCTTGAGCAGCAGCGGTAGGGGCAGCTCGGGCGGCCACAGGCTTTGGTTGAGGGGTGACAGTAGTGGCCATGAGTGTTGGTATGGAACTAAGTGTCGATGTGGAATGGAAAAAAAGAATGAGGTGGGTAGGGGGCCGTTTTATATCGTTTTCGGTTCGTTTGGCGTTTAGGATAATTGGGTTTGTGGAGGGGTAATAGGGTTACATCATACCGAGAGAGGGGTAGGGCGTGCTCAATTTTTGTGGGGTAGCGCGAAACACTAAACAAAGCTATAGAGAAAAGGCGGAGCGGTGAGGGTGAACTGAATGGCACGGCGAGAGCCGCTAACACGGCGGCGTTAGACCCCACGCTAGCAAACTCCGAAACCGAGCAAAAACAACGGTGACTACCCTGTGTGAGCCTGGGCTGTGTCAGCCTGTCAGCCAAGAGTGTCAAAGCTACTAGTAAGGGGCGAAAGCTGGGGTCGATGCGAGATGGCAGGCAGAGGCAGATACTGACGGCATATCGTACGAGTGGGCTACCGGACGACGGGTGCTCGGCGTGTAGGTCGCCAACGTATGCCTCGATTGACGTCAACCGCGGCTATCGCCGAGAGGTTTTCGGAGACAGCCACCCTGTCTACGCCGGGGCACGGGTGGCTAACTGCGGGTTGCGGGGGACCACAGACGGCCGGGAGCGATTACCTTTTGCGGTGGGAGTGGGGGTACCGTCAGTTCTCTGATGTTGTCTAAAGTCAAGATTATGAGCCCCGACACCACCCAAACCCTATCCCGGGACTCCATGCACCCCGCGGGCTAATGCCGAAATCAAAAGGGGTGAGCGGCCATCGCGATTGACAGTAGCACACCCTAATGTCCGAATACGGTACGCACAGAGGTTGAGGGGGAAGCTTAGGCCAACTACCCCGTGCACCAAGGCACAGCCAGGGTATCTTGTGACCCTGATGATGAATTGGGTAGTGGAAAAGCTTCCTCATTAAGTTATGATATACAAGTGTTTGTAGTGTAATTAATGCGCTCGGCGTTACGATCGGTTGTAACCGTAGCTGGCAAACAATGGGAAAAACCCTATTCTGTACTTGTGGGGTCAGATCGGTCAAACTTTGCGGAGGTTCCCAGTATTCGGGTCCGACACGGCATTTTAGCTCTAACTTCTCGATCGGGGCGGGTCTCGGAGTTCCCGGAGTCTCCTCCGATGTCACCCTATACTAGCCAGCATAATGTACTTTAATTCACCAAGAAAATAAGACCCAGAGCTGACGGATAAAACTAAAGAAAGATATCATTTCAATCATTCAGTTGATGATTGATTTCCGCTCATATATGGTCGGTATCGATAAGAACCTTTTGGCGCTTATCTCATGCTAATTGTTGAGGTGACCCCCACACTGGAGTTAGGCATCTGGGTCGTTTACGTCAAACGCAGCATAAACTTTATTCCGGAGAGAAGCGCTTGGCGATTACAGCGGAGTTACGCATACACAACCACTTACTATATTTTGTATTAGTTCGAGAAAAACACCACAGGCGTGTTTCTCGAGGTAACTGGGAAGCTTTGATTATATACAGCATCAAAAGTATATTGATGTAAACTTGGTGATATTTGAATTTGGTAGTGTTGGTAAATTTCGGTAGTGCTTAATCGGAACACTTCTTAAACTTGGCGCCCTTGGCGGTGGCGAGCGACCCCATGTTGTCCTGGTGGTTCTGCTTGATGGTCTCGTTGTCGCCAAGCTCGGTGCGGTCGTGGAAATGTAACATCACTCTGCCGTTATCCTGAGGCTCACCTTGGACGATGTTTTGCACCAAGAACTTCAGCACTTCGTTCATGTGCTTGAGGCGCTCTTCTTGAACTTCGGCGGCGACGTCGCGGTTGGCCTCAAACTCCTCGCGGATCTTGTGGCGGGCAGCGTTGAGCACGGGGAGGTCGTTGCGAAACGCCACCCGCGTGGCTCGGAGGGCGTTGCGGTAGGCGTGGACACCAGCAGACATTGGGATATTGGTTAGAGAATGTCTTGGAAAAGATGCGGTGAGAAATCGTACTGCAGACAACTCATAATGAGACAATACTCATGCCACCACTTTAAACATAACTCACGCCACCATAATAGGAGGAATCACTTATAAACAAAATAAATCCCATAATTCACAACCCACGAGTCACCGTTGACTCTGTAGTACGCCCAATTGTGCTCAAATCCTCAAGTAAGTGTGGCGTGGCCGTTAACCACCATTGTCGCAAGTGGTATCATAATCGATTTCACTTGCGATTTACCAAATTCCTGGAAAATATTAGCTACCAAAGGTTTTTGCTTATATCATCATCGTCATGGTTGCAAGTGGTGGTTTTCACCTCGAATCTCTTTTCGTTCATCTCTAATATCCCCTGCCTTCTTTTTTTTTTGTCTCTGATTTCCTTTAGCTGTGCCTCGCTCGGCGCTGGTGCGGGCGCAATCGCGGGCGCACGCTGGCGATCAAAGGACCGATCCACCCTCACCAACCGCTTACC